AACAAGGTGCTTAAAATGGTCAGATGGTCACTTCTTGCTTGTCACTCTATGACCTTTCCTGCTGCTTCCAGTTCGCTGATCTTTCTTTTTGCCTTCCAGCAGGACTTGGAAGGGAAATACTTCACTTGTTAGCGTGATTAATTTCAGAGCTCTGCTTAGCTGAGGGGAAGCAGGTGGAGTTCCTAGCCACAGTGGTGCTCCCCAGGGTGGGCGAGTCCCATCTAACCCACACTGTGGAACACCCATGGGACAATGCCACTGACCAGCCACAGTGGCCATCAGACCTAGTTCATCATCCCTGAGCAGGGCATCTGGCAGTGATGCCAGCACAGCGATCGAGCTACGCTGTCCCCTGTGCTAGTGGGTGCCTAGAAACTGTGCCCCTGGATCATGCCTAGAGCCTCTACTCTCTTTTGGTGCCTTCTTCCTACATATTGGATCCTACTCACTAAGCACAGGCTGGATCTGGCCTTTGAATCCTGAACCCCACCAAACATACCTGTGTGCCTCCTGTATAACGCTGACCTCTTTGCTAACAGCCTTTTCCTCCCCTTCAAAGAGGGGATGAGGGAGTAACTCTCTGTTGAGGCAGAGCAGGAGCAATGCTGAGCAGAGGTAGGCCCTGGTGGCTGAGCAATGTAGAAGGCATGGAAGCATGTCTGCCCTACACCCTGTTGCTCTGTTCTTCCTCCTTCACAAAGACAACAGCTGTTGGGAAGGGTCTGCCCAGAGGTCAGAGGATAGTTCAAGGAGTTTCATCCCAAAATCCTGGTTTTCCATACAACCCTTAGCCATGCCCTATCTTTGAGAGGATTGTTCTCCAACTGCAATATCATCATCTTTAATTAGGATTGGTTGTATTGTACCAGCATCCCAAGTGGTCTGAGGGTGAGGTCTGAGATGTGAGGCTCAGGTATGTCTGCAGTGGGTAGGAGCACCTCTCTCCCCAGGGCTGACCATACCTATACAGGACAAGTGGTAGAATACCCAGGCAGACCTGGGAGGAGATGGAGGCAGACACCCCCACCTTGGCAGAGAGGGAAGAAGAGGAAAAGCCCAGTCTTTTCCTTGAGGTGCTAAACGTAGGGGCCAGGGAAGCACAAACACTGTGACTTCTCACTAAGGTCCCCCAGGCACATCTCAGGACCTTTGAAAGAAATCTGCATATCCCATTTAATTCAGCTGAGTTAAATGAATATGATTAAAAATTCTTGATAAATATCAGGCTGATTTGTAAGAACTATTAGTTGGCCTTGTGGCAGCTTAGTGGGAAATCAACTACTGATTAGCTAAATTTGAGTGTCTACAGCATATCCTTATGAGCAGTAGGGCAGGAAGGAGTGAAATCAACCTCACCACTCCAAAAAAGTAGTAGCTTAGCTCAATAAAAAACATGTTTCTAGCACAGGATAAGGTGATCAGTGCCAGATGATTTTTTATAGTGCAAGCTCTGTGTCCACTGGGAATAGACTGTATCAAAATAAACATGTGCAACCTTTCTTCTGGAGAGTCCCTGGAGCGAGCTGGCACTCTGCCTGAATCACTTCTTTCCCAAGCAACTATTCATTGTATGAATGAATGTGGGGGGATGTTTGTGCTATAATTCTCCATCTTATAACTAAGCCAGGGGTACGTGATTAACAGTTTTAGCCAGTCTTTTGTTTCCAAAATGCCATTCTTCCCTACTTGTGTATAAGCATCTTCCTGTGTGTTTGTCTGAATACCACCCTGATGGGAGTACATGAGCTTTCTCCTTGTTCCGGTAGTTCCTATCTTTTTGAGCAATAGTCTTCACTCTTTTATGATAATGATGATACTAATGAAGCTCTGAATGTGACTGTGACTCTGCCAGCAAGAGTTACATCATGTGGTGTTCTTACCTATAGGTTTCCAAATTGCCTTTGTTATCGTGAAAGGATTCTTCACATTTTGAGAAATACTTGTGCCACTTGCTTTTTTATGTCACTTCTTTGCAGGGAAACTGTGGCACAGAGCCTTGGTATTTACTGCCTGCCTCCATCATTGGAATGAGTCAGAATTTTCTCCTAAACCAAGAGACAGTAGGTTTCCAGTTTGCAGTTTGGGACCTTCACAGCTGAGGGACTGGGAGGATAACATAAAGCAAGCAGGTAGCACTAAGCACATACCTAAGCTCCATGCCATGGGTTTCTCTGTCAGGGTGTAAGGAGAGGGCTCTGGTGGGGCTCTAGAGAGGGATGGCAATACCAGCTCACAGCAGTTGTATACTCTGATGTATCTATTTTATTGAGAACAGTTCTGATTTCATATGGTACATATGTAATAGCAAACACTGTTAGCAATGCTTATGATGCTCTAGAGATTTTGCCATGTGAGCAAGCAGAAGCAAAATGACAATTAGATATTGTCTCACGCTAGCAACAGCGCAGCAGGTCCAGAATTTCATGTCAGTCAGTGAGAAACCTTGTTTACTGGAAGCTGGCCATGAATTGCTTTACAGATCTAGCCAAATCCTTGGCAGAACAGACCAGTTAGATCTGTTGCTCTCTCTCAAGAGTAGGGGCTTCCTGGCAGTGTAATTTCTTGATGGTTTACGGGGTACAGCTCTAGGAAGCCTCTCTCCATTAGGTGCGTTGTGCTTCTCTAAAGAGCCGGGGCTGAGCAGCACCCACGCTGACTGTCTATCCCAGCTCCATCCTTCCTCACAGCCACTCAGCACGTTTGTCCACATATTCCTGCTTCCTATTGGGAATCTGTTACAACCAGAGGAAGCCTTGCAGAAGCTTCATCTGTGAGGAAGACCTTTAGGGATTCAGGGAGAGCAACTTCTGCTGCTGATACTACCCCAGTTTGATTGTCATACCCTAGATTCAACAAGTGTGCATGCAGCAGAACATTTTGTGCTGTGCTGTGCTGTGCTGTGCTGTGCTGTGCTGTGCTGTGCTGTGCTGTCCTGTGAAGGTGGTGAGACACTGGAACAGGTTGCCCAGGGAGGTTGTGGATGTCCCAGCCCTGGTCTAGTGCAAAGTGTCCTCCCACCATTGGGAGGAGACCATCTTTATTGTCCCTTCCTACCCCACTAACATCCTGTGATCCTATGATCTTAAGCAAAAGTTTAGCAAAGAAACACTGCAAAATCCTAAATCCTGCCATTTTAACAATGCCTTTCGTATTCTTAAATATCATAGGTTACAATAAATGAGCAAATAACAACAAAACACACTGAATATTATCACTACATTTTAGCCTGAATTATTTGAAAACACAGTGATTGTGATAACAGTTTAATTATGGGACTAAGCAAATACACACCTAAAATATATGTAAAACACTGGGTAATAAAATTTTGCTGGGCTTATACATTTTCCTAGTCCAAAATATGAATTATGATATGGCTGACTTGCAAGTCAAAAGTCATGGTTGACTGTAGCTGTTTTGTAAGTCAAAACAAATTTTAGAAAAATCTAAAAACTAAATGGTATTATTTGATATTTTGTTCTGTATAATGGAATTCAGCAATTTAAATTCACCAGTTATGACTAAAAAAAGTAGTCCCTTGGCCTTCATATTTCCTGTTTATCCTTCACCAAAGTGCAGAGTGCCATTACGTAGTGGCTTTACCCTCCAGTCAGTGACCAGTGGCTCTAATTCCTCATAACTGATTTGATAAAAAGCTATGGAGTAGTTTAGTATTCTTAGCTATCTGTTAAGTAATGACCAGGTAGAATATTGCTGTAGGAGAACTAGTAACAGAAGCACTGGTTTTACTATGGTTACGTTTGCACTTTGGTTTTTTTCGTAAAATATTCTTTAAGCAGACTAATTTATGTGTGACTCATATGTGGAAAATAACATGGGCTTAAATAAAGCCTAGCAATTAACTTCCTTCCTCCTCCCTTCCAATTTTATTCATGTCATACATGTTGAGGACTCATTAAATGAGAAACATTGATTGCTGAAAAAGAGTTCTATCATTGCCTATCGTTACACCACTGCTTTGAAAATGAGGCTTTGACAATATCCAATGACATTGTGCTGCTGTTTCAGAAAATATTTGTGTGGGAGGCAGCAGCACATGGATTTTGCACCACGCCAAAGGGGTGCCAGATGCCATGAGAGATGCAGTAGCACGGGGCTTCCTTCTTGGGCTGAAGTGGTTGCAGATCAGGAGTCACTTTCTCATACGGTCAAAGAGCCAAGGAGGGTGGGCAGTGAGCTAGTGACAAGTGTTTCTGAGGCACTTCAGCTGGGCTGCTTTTGTATTTTTCCCTTTGCCTTACCTACACAAATTTACTTAATTTACCCAATTTGCCCTTTTCTCCTTTCAGCTCACACTGCTGGAGCAATTGAACTACAAAGCTGAGGTCACAACATTTTGGTGAAGATTAGCAAAAGGAGTGATGGGGATGGGACAGTCCCCATGCTTGGTGCCAGCATGGCTGGGCAGGTGGTCTGATGGGGCTGCAAGAGTGTTTTTTAGTATGGCTTAGGCAGTGGGATTTATAAGGACACTTTGAATTTGAGGTGTAATTCAGTAGAGTTACTACCATCTCTTTTGGCTTGGGGTCAGGATCCACAGAGGAGGATGAAAAGCTTCCCAGTAGGAAGAGCAGCCTGAGAAGTCAAAGGCATCGGTGATGCCAGCTCTTGCACTGAAGATGGTTTTGATGGGAATGTGGGGGCAATGAGAATGCATTTCAGCTTGAGCAGATCCCAGGCTCATCCAGCCTACAAGTTTGCAGAGAGTAACCTCCACACAAAAAAATCCCCAAGAAGTGGCTGTTTTAGTACTGTGCTGATGCACCACATATAGCCTGGGAGCCTTGATCCCTGGCGAGAGACCCTAAGGCTAGCATAATGCTCAGGAATAACATTACCCACAATAGGTATTTCCTAAAATCAAGGACTGTGGCATAGAGTACTGCTGACACATTTATCTGACCTGGATATCGTCACTGTATTATTAAATTGAAATAGAGTGACTGAGATTAACCTGCAAATAGAGCTAACAGTATGACAGTTCATAATGATTCTTGCATTCCTTCAACAGAAAAAACTGCTTAGACAATCTAATGGATGAAGATGAGAAAGACAGGGCAAAGAGGTGAGTATCTTTTCTTTTATAACTCTCTGTGATGAGCTTGATACTGTTTGTTGCTGCAGAAGCTGTTTTATCCATAATCAATTAATCAAAGAGCAAGAGAGTTAAATACAGTCAAACACAACTTGAAAAACTGCCATCTCACAGACTCCTACTCCTGTCTGCACTGTAAGAAGAAAATAACCTAGCAATGTTTCCTATGGAAAATGTTAAAAAAGCCAAGGCATTGATCATTTTCTTCACATTACTGCAGAACATCAGAACTGAAGCACCAACAACATACTTCTGCCACTATAATACATCATCTGAGCTTCCAGAGTATACAGAAATGTTGTGGTTTCTTTTTCCTTTGAGTGCATTTTGCAAAAGAAAAAGAATAGGGAAAGTGGGGGGTTTTTTCCCTATTAGAATGGTCATTTATTCATTTATTCATCAGTGCCTATCACAGCAATGAAAACACCCAGAAGTTACCTTTGGAGCAGAGAAAGACCACGAAACGTCAGCCTTAAACTGACAGAAACCTACATTCACGGACAGTCTGTACTCCATTGAGTCCCGGTTGGTGGGGATTCATTGTGAACCCTTTGTTGGGAGAGAAAAGGTGTGTTTCAAGGCAGAGGATCTGTGGCAATGAAACTCTTAATAACTGTCAGAGCTGACCGGCATCTGCAGAAAAGCAGTTTGGAAGCATTCGAGGTTATCAATGCCTCAGCCTGCAGTTTAATTACTTTAGAGATTGCCAGAGGTTGCCCACATTTTTCCCCTTGGTTCCCTCTAATGAGAGTATTTCCAGTCCAGGCACAAGCAGTTGATCCAGTTTCATCTCTTTTGATTCCTTCTCCCCTTCTTTCCCTCCCCGCAGCTTTGTCTCACCAATATAGGTCAGTACGGGCTGCAGCCAGGCTCAGCTGTTCCCCCCTGCTTCCTTTTGGAGGGTGCAGAAAGGAGCCCACCTTGCAGCACTGCTTCACCTGCTAAAGGCCTGATCATCTTCAAGATATTCATGTGCTAATTGTTTAGTAAAAAAAAATTCATTAAATGAATGCATATATGAAAAAAATAGGATAACGCGTATCCTCGTTATCGGCAATTGTCATCACCGTCTGGTATGGTTTTCATGCTGATTGTTCCCAGAAGGAATTTTTGTCATATCCTGGGGCAGGCCTCTATCAGGGTGCATAAAAAAGTTATAACTTTAAAAATTAATAAAAGGAAACTGCTTCTTCAAATTGTAATTTAAGTTCATTTTGCTTTTTAAAGTTGAAATTGAGTTTGAAATCATGAGATGCTTCATGAAGATCTGAAGTTAATACATTATACTTATATATTATATATACTTATATATTATATATATTTAGATTAATTTAAAAGCTACAGGTTTTCTTCTAGAGAGAGTCAGACTCAGGAGAAGCTATTTGATGAATATTTTGCTGCTGTGTCTTGTTAACTGAGTACTCTCACCTGTCTTGTACCACAAGGGAAACTCTTTCTTTTCTTCTATTTGGTATAAGGACTGGGTCCCACAGGGCTGAGAAACACCAGAGGGGATTAAAAAGCCCAGGAAATTGTTCTCTCCTTTTATTTTCTCTGTTAAAAGTAGGTGAGACTGAAAATTTCTGGACCTAGGTTTTTGGGATGGACTCAGGCCAGGAGCTGAGTTTCTCAGGTTAGGTGTGTGTAGAGATACACATACACGCCGTGTATATCTGCTACAATTCATTAGGCACGTACAGGTTGTATTACACAGACATGAAAAAAGGATCTATCCTCTACTGAGAAGGGGCACTTGCACTCCCACCCCTGTGCCAGGTGTTCAGCATTTGGCCAAGATACATAACTCTTCCTTCAGGGAGAACACTGGTTAAATTGAGCCATGTTCAGCCTGACTCCCTAAGGCACAAATTTGCTCCAAAGATCTGAGGACTAAAATGTGGATATGATGGCACCACAGCTGGGATCATTGAAGACCTATGTGAGGTTTTCTAATCTTCTGAGATCAGATGCCATCGTTTCATTTTTAGTTCTTTGGTGCTAAATGAGGTTTATTTTGGTTATGGAGATTTATTAATTCTAAACAAAAGGTGTGCTTTGTGCACTTTTTTCTCTGTTTGTTCTTCTTTCAGTTTGTTTTAATAGTATACAATTTGAAAATACTTTTTTTACAATTCAGTTGAATTCCAAATTCCAACCAAAACCAGCTTGAAGTGAACCATGAGAAAGTGCTTAATCATGAAGACTACTACCTGCCATTTTCCACTGAAATAAAAAGTAAATTTAAGAATCTGAATGAAGGTATGTGGTACAGTTACTTGCATTGATGAATATATAACACACTCCACAGGACAGCCAGAAGAAATCTGAAATTTAGTGTAAAGTCACATTTCATTGTAAATTAGCAGAATGTAGCATCCACAAGTCAGTCAATATCTGTTTAGGACAACAAGCAGCATATATGTAAGCGAATAAAGACGGCTGTTAAATAGTTGATTTTGACCATTCTCAATTCAGGCTGTTCTCTATTGCCTTTCGCTGTATTCACTGAAAGTCCTGATTTTATTCATACTGTGTCTCCTCCTTCCCCTTGAATATGCTGAAATCTTTGTGGAGTAGCAAGGAGGGAGGAGAACTGGGACAAGTAGTATGGAATTAAGACAGAGGTTGTTTGGGCTTACTGTAGTTGTATGCCCTAGCAGTGAAGTAAGCAAGGCTAGGAAATAATCTTCAAAGAGGAGTGATGAAAATTATCTTACTTCATGTATTTATAACTGTATTAAACAAAGTATTTTCAACTGTTCAGGAATAGTTTTTATCATTTTTTCTAATCTTTTCTCATTTTTTTTCCTTTTCAAAACTTTACTGTGATCATCGATTCATATCTTGGTAGAGTTATTTCCACTAGAGGAGTTTTTATATTTCCTTTGTGAGCAAAATGTCAAGTGTTAAAAATAGATACTTTATTTTCTGTCAAGGCTTTTTTCTTATTTTTTGTTTTTAAAGCAACACACTCCCTATTAGCAGTTGGTGGTTTATTTTATTTTCAGGGAAATCTGGACTCATTAAGCTTAAAATTAATTTAGGATTGAATTATGAGGAAATAAAATGTTGATATTCTTAACGTTGCCCTGAACTGTAGAGAAATAGGATAAGGCTGGAGTTTTTCACATCGTGTTCTGACAGCCTTTTGAGTGTAATAAGAGCAAGCTGAAATCAGTCAGGCAGTATCCACCCAATCTCTTGTGTTCAAAGCTGTAAGATAATCAAGCATTGGCTTCCATCCAGTGTATCTCCAAGTGTGTTCAGGGTTGAGAGCAAGACAAACAGAAATTACCCCTCTGTCAGTAGTAACATCCAGAAGCCTCTGTAGTGATTTCTCTGCTGAAAATGTTTATTACCATCCTGGTCCTTGCAGGGGATGTAGATGCTGGGCTAAATTCTGCTCTGATTTTCAGCAGTGTGTATCCAGAGCTGCTCTGAGGCACAGCAGAGTTAGCTGGGACTGAGAAACTCAGAGTGAGAACTGGCCTCTTGGCTTTTCTTTCCCATTTACATAATACCAGAGTTTTAGAGCTTTGCGTAATTGATAAGGCAAATCTCATCTGCCTGAGGACCTTTCAGAAGAACAAACCAACCTGCTGGGCTATACTTACTTCTATTTCCACATGGATACAGAAATCCAGGTGATAACCTCAAACAGTTGTTGTATTCATGAGAACAAGTCAGAAAACGCATGTGTACAGATCGACATAGAGTTAAAAAAAAAACAGAGTGTGCATGCTGAAAAGATTATCAACAGCCTTAATGACAGTATTATGATGGTGGCAAAATATCCCAAATGAAATCAGATACTTTCTTCCTTTGAGCTCTTGAAACACAGCAGCAGAAGCAGGCTCTCTCTGAGGAATCTGCAAGCTAAACAGACAAGACTGGTGAAGAAGGCTGTAGAGTCTTCGTTCTAAACCTTGAGGCTTGGGCTCTGACACTGATTTTCCCAGTGGCACACAGAGATTTAGGGCAAGCACTGCTGGCACTTCCAAGACCCCAAGTCTGGCAATGCATCCCAGGTACAGACCCAATCTATGATGATGTCCTCTGTCCTGCTTATCCTTGTGACCTTGTAAAGGAGACTGAACAAAGTGGTATATAAACCAGATGGGAGCTATAGCAACTTCTATTCAGGTCTCTGATCTTAATGACTGGAAGACAGCATCCTGATTCTTCTCTGCCAGCCTGGAGGTAGGCAGAGCACCTGTAACCAAAGTGGGAAGATCCTTCTAGATCAACCCAGCTCCAGTGCAACAGCTACAGGACTGGGGTCCCTCTCTTCTGTTAAATCTGCACAGATGGGTATGATCCAGTCTCCACTCTTCTTCTTTATGAACAATTTTACTGTTGTCACAGTATTCCTGTTTCTTCTCACTCTGAATGCCTCCCCAGAGACTGCATGAATTTTTGAGATCCTGCATATGTCTGGGAGATGGACAGAGCTCCTTCAGCTACAAGCTAAATGCTGTCCTGATAAGCTCAGGCAGAGTGTCCAGAGGCAGCACAGAGGAGTGAGCAGAGCCTCCATCTCCCTGCTGGGCACTAAAGGTGGCTCAAAGACAAGAGCAGGAGTTGGGAAATGTTGCCTCTACTTGCTTCTGCAGCTTTGCTGGAGTCCAGTGTCAATCTTGACACACTGATGTGTGCAGCAAGCTAATTTTATGTATATACATTGCAAAGAGCAGGTACATGATCATTTTCCTTCTTGGTCTGCTCATCCTTTGTTTCTTTTCCCCTGTCTACAGGGCTTCGCGTAACAAGTCTGAGAAGAAGAGGCGCGATCAGTTCAATGTTCTCATCAAAGAGCTCAGCTCCATGCTTCCAGGCAACACTCGCAAAATGGACAAAACTACTGTGCTGGAAAAAGTCATTGGCTTTCTGCAGAAACACAATGGTAAGATTTAGTGCAGCTCTTCATGCACTTGCCAGACATTTACTATAATATCCTGTTTCCTTCAGTGATTATCAGAATGGCTCGAGGGATCTAAAAGTGCCAACATAAGGTATTTGAGGTTTTTTTCTGTCTCATCAAAAATGATCATTTGCAGACACTGTGCTGCCCAAATCCATCTCCTTGTTTGCTCTTCAGCTGAAGAGGACTTTCAGCCTGCTAGAGAAGGGGGCAAATGGCAGCGACTGAGGGAAAGAGGGCAACAGTGCCCTGCAGCACTCATGAAGAAGACAGATGCTTTGAACAAAGATTTGGGAGCAGAGGGAAGATTCCCTTACTTGAAATTTGTAATATTCTGAGCAGAAGAATAAAGCATTTGCCCCAGTTTCTCTGCAGAAAAAATGCAGGGAAGCAATCTGTTCAGCACCCCAGCTCCTCAGTGGACTGTGTAGGACTCAATTTTCCACACTGAGTAGAAAACTCCGACCAGAAAGCACTTCTGGTTTTGAATCTGGCATCAGCAAATTGCATCCACAGATAGTTGAGATGCTTCACCCAGTTTGCACAAGAAGAAGCTACATTGCATGTGCACAGCATCCAGTTGCAGTAGTCAAATTCAGCATCCTAAAGCTGGAAGTTTATTTTTTAAAATGCTTGCACCAGTGACAGTGAAGTCTCGTAGAAATGTACCTTCACAGAGGGCAGAGATTTCCAACCCTGCTGATCTACTCTCTTTGGTCTAGTTTCTACTCAGAGGGAGGAATGTGCACTGTGGCCTTCCTGATGCTTTGACACCCACCAGTAGTGGTCAACTGACATGCTTCTCCCTTATAAATCAGGGCACTGGTTTAAAATGGGCCTGTCCTGCTCTGCCCTGTGAGGATGAGGTTTCAGTGGGTGACTGTGAGGAATGCTCCTGGTCTCAGAAAGCAGAAAGGTGTCTCACAAGATGATGCACTACATCGCCTGGCTTACCTTGGCTCATCCAGCACCTCCTTCCTGCACTCTCTGGAGAACTATAGGTGTAACTAGAAAGACCATTAAAACTCTTATATCATGACTCACAATAGACTGGAGTCACAAATGTCAGTCTCACTGAGGAAATAATTATAATGGTTCTGTCATTAGAGTGCAGTTTCTCCTTAAATGAATTGTTTACCACAGATGGAATCATGTATTTGTTTAGGTTGGAAAAGACATTTAAGACCAATGAGTCCAACAGTTAACCTGTAGTTTTGTACAGAAGGAGATGACCAGGACATCTCAAGGTTTAATAGTTATATACACTTATTAAAAGATTATAACAATAACTTGCCTTTTTATTTTTCGCTGCCGAAGGGAAAGGAAGATGTGAATATGCTCAATTATAAAGCTAAGCAAAGAAAAATCACCCAAGATTTGAAATAAGTGTATAAGTGTAGCTGAAGGTCCAAATAATTTACTCCAGAAGGTGCTTTTCCTTGAAAAACAACTAGATGAAGGAAAGCTAGCAGTCACAAATCTTTCCACAGCAATTGGGTCAAAATGTGACTGGGGTTTGTGCACTTGCTAAAAAAGGCAAATGTTATTTATTTTTAAATCAGATTAGTAGTCACAGAATATAATACAAAGCATCAGCATTTAAAAGTGTTATTATCCTCAGCATACTTTGGATCTGGTTTATTGAGTCGTATTTCCCTTCTGGTTGGTAGGCTAAACCAAGATTTTAGTCATAACACAGAGGAAGAGGTAAATTTTCTTATATTTTCCTTCATAAGCAGCCTCCTTTTTCAAACTACAGATCTGCTGAAAGTATCGTATATTCTGAAACTACTTTAAAAATCTGATGGACTCTTTCCTTAGTTGGGTTTTCAAACCCATGGGGGCTGTGGAGAGTTGCTGTGCTGCCAGTGACAGCCCCCAGCAGTGCAGAAAGCAAGTCAAACAAGCTAGTAGGAGCAAGCAGCTGCATCTCCACGAATGCAGCCTGGACAGAGGCTTTGATTTCTTTCTCAGTGACAAAATGCACAGGCACTCCAAGAAATGTACTGTCTTTAGTACCATTTATGCATTTCTCTGGCCAGTTTGCCTATGTGCCTTGAATACAGAGCATTGAGTGTTACATGCTCTGGAAGTGTTAATCAACGGGATTAATTAAGGAGATGCTGAAAAGAGAAGACAGTCTGTGCTCACCATCCCCTCACTACTAGAGCTGAGTGAGGATGCACTCCTAGAAAAGCAGAGTGAGCAGCAAACTAAATCAGCTCAAGTTTTTCTAGAGCTGTCCCCCAGAATGCTGTCAGACTCAGAGCTAACATAAGTGACTGTTTTCAAAGGCCAGCAGTGCAACCAGCTATCCCACTGAAGTCAGTACAAGTTGACTTGACTAAAAAACGAGGAAAACATTTCAGGCTTGAAAACTGCAATTTTTGAATACAAAGGTTATTTCTCTCTTTTCATAGCAACTCATATGTAATATATCAAGATAGAAGTTAATTTGAATTTTAAGGATGTAAATGTTTTATTTGTCTAGAAGTCTCAGCACAGACAGAGATTTCTGAAATTCAGCAGGACTGGAAGCCTTCATTCCTCAGCAATGAAGAATTCACCCAGCTGATGTTGGAGGTAAATATGAATATATACCTTTCCTAATTTTGTCTAGCACTCATGGAAACACCCATGCATTTCAAACAATCTGTCATCTGCAGTTCAAAAAGAGATTTTGGGAACTGCTGTATTTGACCATCAAGCAGAGCTGGGATTGGGATTGAAGTCCCCACTTGTTGCTCTTCCCTCTCAGCTGCACCGTTGTGCTGTGCTGCCACAACCTGCAGAGCTATGCAGTGACTCCCAAGAAAAGCAGTTGAGGGCAAAGATTCAAATCACAGGTTATATTTTTTTTTACAAGCAGAGGTGAGATAAAGGGCACATGGCTGTTTTTTCTCTGTTCTTGGAAGGCATTATTAACATCTAATATTTATGCAACAGTAGCACCTGAAACAGTGGTGTCACGTCCCTCTAGTGCTAGGTGCTGAACAAGCAGATAAAGCCTGACAGCTCCTCTTGGCTTGATACAGTTGGTACTTCCACTCTGGTTTACAAGGCCCTTATCAAACACTTTTATTCTAGCATTTTGCAATCATAATTTTTAAACTATAGCATAGGATCTTTAAATGCTAGCTGGGATTTGAAGGGAGGTGACTCAGTGGTATTTATGTAGGTTAAAAATGAAAAGCAAATGAGTTACTAGAATGCATTTTCCTCTCTCAGTAATAGCTAGAACTGCCTTTAGCAAGGGTCTTCTCCTGTACTAAACGCATGGATATTGCATAGCCCCACAGTGTCCTTTGAGAACAAGCGTCTTCTCCTCCCACAAATGATGTGAACATGGCACATGATCCAGGCTCTAGTGGTGGGCAGGGAAGGATGTTGGGAAACAACTTCACCACCAAGGAGTGGCATAAAGCCAGGGCACGTTGCTGACTGCCAGGGGCTGGCAGTCCTTTGGCCATTGCAATTTGTTGTGATGAGACTCCCCTGGATTAGTTTTATGAGACACTTTGCTCCCATTGCTCTGACAACCACCCATTTCCATCTCTGTGCACGGGAACTTAACACACATATCTCCTTCAGTCTGCACTGAAATACGTCCCTCAGATAGCAATAAATTGACTGTTGTTTTGACAGGCTGGGCCTTTGTTGATTCTGCTTGTATGCTACACAATTTTAGATTAAAACAATCACTTTTGGTTTCCCAGCTTATAAATCACCTTCTTGCTACTGTGATTTTCCATGCCCTTCAAGATAACATTGGGTGTTGGGATGTCCTGTTGTGCCACATGTTCATCATTCCCTGCTATTTTGCCTTCCTACAAATCTTACTTTATTAGCATTTGGACAAGACTGCTTGAAGTTTTTCCCATCCTGTTGTTAAAAGACGGGAAGGGTTTTTTCCAAGCACTAATTCAAAAGACTCAAGGCATAATTGACTGCAGTAATATATCAGCTTTCCTGAAAATGGCCTTTTCTTACCATATTGAAAAGGCTGTCACCAAATTACAGTGGGCATTAGGCTCTGTTTGTCCATCTAAGATTGATGCAAAAGTAAAACCTTTGAAGAGGAAAATGCTCTCTTAATGTTGGAATGTCCAGTCGCAAGTAAATAAAAACAGAGTTATGTATGCACACATTAACTTGATTTTACCACAGAGTTCTGATATGAGTCACTGTGTGTAATTTGCATTGGATATGAAATAACGACTTGATTTTTTAAAAACTAACAACCTTCACCATAGTAACATGCACGATCCAACTGCCTTATAAAACCACTGCTCTCTTCTATGGGCTAACAGCTATCATGCTTTTTTAGAAAACAGCTTGAATGTACTGCACCACAGAAAAACATATTCTCTGCACCAAGATTAACAGAATCAAACTAACTATAGCAGCTGGAGGGTTTTCAGAGATGCTAAACACACGCTCTTCTACTGGGGTATAAGTTATTGACTTGCTTTTCAAAGGATTGAAGCACCAGCAGATTTCCATTGACTTAAATAGTTGTGGGTGCTCAGCCTTCTCTGGAAAAAGGAACATATGTTTGTGTCTTTATTCAAGGCTTTGTGTTTTCCTTTTATTTTCTTTATTTATTTTTTTTTTTTTTGGTAACAATTAGCATTTTCCAGTATTCTCAGAATTCTTTCCCTTATTAAAGTCAGCAGGGAGGAAGGATGTACTGTGGCTTACAAGATCAACTGCTAGTCTGGCTTGGAAGCAGGCCTGGGTTTGCGGTATGGTTTTGTAATACCGTGGCTCTCTGATCATGCTGTTTGCAGTACACCTGTCTCCTGAGCAGGTATGGCCCCTGGAGTAAAGTCAAACCCTGCTCTGAGTCAGTCGTGCTTGCAGTGCTTTGTTGCTCAAACACTGCTGGTGACACTGACTCCAGAAGATCAGGGAACTGACAGGAAGGACCCAGACTTGCTCCACTTCAAGGGCTGGGAGCCTCACTGGTGACTTCCCAGTGGCAATGGGGAGGTTTTAATATATTCTCTGAGCACCTACTCTTGTGTCTTTTTAGAGGTGCTCTCTTTACAGTGATCTAAAGATCATCTAGCTTTAGTTCACACTGAGAAGAATCCCCCAAAAAATTAAGTTAATCTTGCCTTAGATCTCAAAATTTGTCTAGGTTTAATTTTGCACAAAACTTAGCTCAAAACTTGGCAGCTCAGACTAAAGAAAAGACTCATTTTGAAGGTGAAATTGCTCCTGTGCAGAGGATGGGGATAAGGCTGACATTTCCCTTCAGTCCTAGGAGTGAAGGGGCTTTACCATAAGATGGGACCAAAGTGAGGAAGAAACTGCAGAAGGGTGAATTTCTCTTGGAATGAGTAATCTAATACCATGACCTTTAAAATAAATCACTCAATTAAAACTCAGGCTAAGGATTATTTGATCATTTGCATTGCTTTTACTTACATGAAAGCCCAGTAATATACAATGTTACATTAATACAAACTGAGATTTATGGGGTTTGCAGAGAAGTACCATTTTGAGATAGGACTGCATCCTTTCATCGTCCTTTGATATTTACACAGAGCTCAAATGTTCATTTTAATAACTTCCAAGGGATCCAGTCTTAGTCATTTTGCATTATTAAAATGTGTGATTAATTTAAAAACTGAGACATGAAATGTTCCTGTGAGCCCTTTGTTGCTTCAATAGTAGGTTTTACTAGACTACAAAGAGTCTTGTAAAAGTTAAATCAGACTGTAAAATCAGAGAATTACTGTTCTGCAACTTGAGATAACATTACTACAACTTGATAACAATATGGTGCCAAAGTCAAGCTGTTGTGATGAACACATGATGAGATGTCCTGTTTACACCACTCATGGCTATTAAAGCACACTCAATTGTTTTCCTTAGGCATTAGATGGCTTCATTATAGCAGTAACCACAGGCGGAAGCATCATCTACGTGTCTGACAGCATCACACCTCTTCTAGGGCATTTACCGGTGAGTAATTCTGGCATTGGCTTTTCTACTAGGCATTGTAGAACTGGGCACTGCACTTTTAGAAACAGATGTAAAACGGTGCTGGGGGTGGCGTTTTCCTGAAAATGTGGTGAAGGAGTTTGTCCCTGCATTATGCTGGCTGCTGCTGTTGCTCAGCTCTGCACTCTCTCTGTCTGATTCATACCCTTCAGGTTTTTGTTGCTACGAGGCACTTCAGCTTGAATGGAAAAAGCTCTGCAGGAATAGTCTGGCCAGGGGAGGGACAGGGTGACCTGGCTGATCTTTTCCATCTCTGATTTCTAAGCTAGCAGAGAATAGCACCAGTGCTGCTGGCAGCCCAGTGAGGAGCTCGTTAAGGGCCTTATTCTGCTTCCAGCGAGGTAAAGGACAAAAACGTCATTGAATCTGGAGTGAGCCGGAGGCTGCTGACGAGCTCTCCCTGCAGCTCCACTGTGCTTTCCCAAGGGGAGCACACGGTGGTCCCAGGAGGTGTTGGTGGAGCCAGTGCGGGGCGCATCCCTGCACCAGTCCAGTCTATGTTCTGGCACATTCAGCGTCTTTTATCTGTGTGCTGCTCCAGGAGACACCCGTCTGTGCATTGGCTTGGGCTGGAGGAGCAGGGGAGAGGAACTGCTCCAAACCCTGCTCCTGTTGCTAAGGCTGCTCTAGGAGAAATGGCACAATAATTACGGATTAATCCTCATGCTCATTTTTAGTATCCTGGTCTCAAATAAATACATGCCCAGGAGAAAAAATTAGCTGCCAGATCATTATTGTACTACCCCCTGCCATGTTCTTAAGAAAATTATAATTCTCTTTCTCTTATTTAGTTTTTCCACCAAATACGTGTTATATTTTCCACCCAGACAAATGTATTTCACAACACTACCTTGCTGGAATAAGAGCAAAAATTATTTTTTTCTGAGAGAAAAGGAACTTGATGAAAGAGCAGCTCCTGGTAAATGCAAAAATACTGCTATGCAACAACAGGTTGAACTGAGTCTATCTGTTTCAGTTTTCTTTCATCCTCAAGAGTTCAGAAAACCAATACTTGACTATTTTCTGACATTTGCCTCACTTCAAGGGTGGAGAGAACTCTGTCCTACACACAGGCTGTAGGGTTTTCATACCCTTACCGATTTCCATGAAATTTCCTTGTCTTTCATCATTTGGAGGTTTCACTGGTATCCCTTCCAAATACTGATTCTTAGTGGAGATGATAGATCTGCTGTGGGAAAGTGTTCCTCTTCAGGAATACACATTTCTGACCCTGTCCTAAAATCTGAAGCCCTGACTGAACATGGATAGATTCAGGTTTATAATTCGTGGGTTAGACCTTCCGAAACTAAATTGGTTTTCTCTCCCAAAGACATGCATTGTGTGATAACCTTACATAGTATCCAGCCCAAAATAAAGATGGGCATTACTTTTTATTTGCATAGAAGCAGCACATGGCAGTCCAAGGCAGGGACCAGCCTGACAGGGTTGGAGGTGGAGCAGACCTTCCTGGAGCAGTTGGAGTGGTAATGGTTAACAGCTGCCCCACCAGCCCACACATGCACAGGAAACATCGCACAACTGAGCAAGGAATAAAGGCTTCTGCCTGCCCCAGGTTCACAGATCACTATGGCCATGGGCAGGGGCCCAGCTGAGGGTGCATCTAGGTGCACACTGGGTGTTTTAGTCCTCTGTTGTCTTTGCCATTTGGGGTTCTTTTAAGTTTTAAAACTGATCAGAGTGCTGTCTGGAAAATCTGTGCGGCTTATTTTGTTTACCTTGAGGATCTATTTGTAAGCTAAATTCAGTCACTGTTTGAGGAATGAAATACCAATTCTTTCTCCTCTGTGACAGCAGGAAAAAATACTCTGCAAATCTTCTGGTTTGAGAATGAAAAGAAAGCAAAACTGGGCAGAATGCATAGCAGGGCTCTCTGAGGGCCCCTGTTAAGAAAACTGTTGTATTTTCTTTCATTAAAATAATGAAAATCTCCATTGCTGAGAACTAATATATCCAGTTCTCTTTAACACAGCTTCCCTTACTTCCATGGAGCATTTTCAAACACAGACTTCCCCTGTTATAATTCTAAATATTTGTTTTTAACAAGATCTGGAGACTACTTGTAGGGTCAGTTGAGATGGACATGTCTAGCTCACGTGGTAAGGATGAGTCTAACTGAAGTGAACTCATTGAAATCTGATCACAGCTCATAGTATTTGCCAGTCAGATAGTACACTACGACTCCAAGAATATGCAGTCTCTTGAGAAGGGCCCTCCCTGTCCCTTCTTGCCTGCTTTTCCAGAAGGTCCCTGGCAGGGCTGAGATTTCTCCTCTGGGGCTGCCCAGTAAAGCTCAAGGAGCTGCTCTGCTGTGTTGGGCGCTTAAGGTAAACGCCAGGATGGATAAATCCAAGACATAGCACCTTACAGTGTACAAAAGTTAAGTATGCTGTATTGCTGTTACAGGGTAGCAGTGGGAATCAGTGCAGGATTTACAGATTGATACAGGGGCCAAATCCCAGCACACAAGTGCATAGCCATCTTTGTGTTTTGTCTTGATGGGAAAGAAACCTCTCTCACTTGCAGCCCTCCAACATCCCTTTTCTAGCGACCATGTTTGCTTAGTTCCTTTGCTTTTTTCTCCCTGCAGCAGGAATTTTTCCTTTTACCCACTTCCCCCATCCCCCAGTAAAAGCAATGAAATTATGAGGAAGAAGTTTCATTTTGGAGTAGAGCTGTTTTGTTGAAACTGCAGAAATATTTTTACTATGCATCCCATTATTGCAGAACTTGATGCATTGTATTTAGAACAGACCAGCATCCACGTAGGCAAAGGTGTTCTTTGGCTGCCTTAGCTTTCAGGAATAAATACTCCAAAGCCTCACTTAGCAGGATCCATAGATTTGAAGATGCAGAGTATATTCCAGGCTTAGCAGCATAACTATGCTATAGTTACACAGTTAAATAGTTATATAGTTAACTATAAGATAGTTCATCTGACAAGTCTACCCACAGTCACTGTAGTCTATCTTGTATCTGCTTTGTCTGTCTCATTCAGCAATACTCTGTAGCTGTCTCAGCCAGTGGCACAGAACTGCCCACTGCAGAATAATTAGGCAGAGCTGCAAACCAGTCCCCTCTAACAGATCCATTTTTATCACTGATGGTCAAATTCTGTCAACAGAATCAGGTCAGAAAAGACCTGCAAAAAGTCCAAGCTTTGACCTAATACCACCATGCCCACTAAAACAAAGTGCAATGTCCATTCATTTTTTGAAACCTTCCAGGGATGGTGATTCTACCACTTTCCTGGGCAGTTTCTTACCATGCTTAATCACTCTCTTGTGAAGCAATCTTTCCAGCTGTCCCATGCTGCAGCTTGAGGCCACTTCCCCTTGTCTTGTCATTGGTTGGCTGGTAGAGGAGACCAACCCCCACATCACCACAACCTCCTTTCAGATAGTTGTGAGTATGATAAGGTCTCCCCCGAGCCTCCTTTTCTCCAGGCTAAACAATGATAACTCCCTCAGCTGCTCCTTGTAAGACCTGTGTTCCAGACCCTTCTCCAGCTCCATTGTCCTTCTTTGGAGCTCCAGCAGCTCATTGTGAGGTGAATTGAGCAGCCCAGAACTGTACACAGCACTTGAGTTGTAGCCTCACCAGTGCTGAGTACAGGGTGCAATCTGCCCTGCTCCTGCTGGCCACACTACTGCTGATACAGGCCAGGGTGCCATTGGCCTTCTTGGCCACCTGGGCACACACTGGCTCATGTTCAGCTGCTGTGGACCAGCACCTTCGGGTCCTTTTCCACCAGGCAGCTTCCCAGCCTCTCTGTCCCAGCCTGTAGCACTGCCTGGGGCTGTTGTGACCCAAGTGCAGGATGTGGTACTTTGCCTCATACAGTTAGTCTCAGCTCTCTGATCCAGTCTGTCCAAATCCCTTTGCAGAGCCTGTCTCACCACTCACCGTTTTGCCATGACATCAGAGGTCTGCTCTTTGGGTCTGGTGCAGAATTAGCTCTGAACAGCTTGCTTGGCATTTTCTACAGCTCCAGTGAGACAGTGGAATATTTGCTTCCATCCCTCTGTTTGACTTAGCAGTGTATTCTGGATTGACACATTGATTCAAGAGCATTGTTGAAGTCTTGATATGTACAGAATCCAGAAATTCTGTTCTGTGCACTGTTTTACAGGTGTGCCAAATCTCTGCAAGAGGCAAGAATTATGAAAGTAAGAAGTAGAAAACTTAGCAATTTTTTCAAACTCATTAAAAAAGAGTTGGTACTTCCTATGATCAAAGATGCAAACCAAATATTAAATTGTGGATGTGGTACATGATGACAGCAAAAACTGTAAATACCAGGGCTTGCAAATCCATAACTGCTGGGTGCTCAGGGCGAGAGGCTGCTCTGAGGGGATAGGTGGAACAAAAGTCTCTTGTAACTCTAACCATAGGTGTAGTCACAGGCGTCTGCAGCTATCACCTGAAACAGAAACATCAGTGCAGAACTAATCAGAGGTTTGGAATTGGAGCCTGGTCACAGTATAGAGACAAAAAGTTTCACTTAGAGAAGTGGTGATGGCTCACATCTAGTCTTCCTGCAGTTAATGCAGAGTAGATGGGAGATTAATTAACTTGGTGGTATCATTATCGTTTACAGGAAAAAAATAATTCCTGAGACTGCACCTAAGCCTTGAACAGAGCTCACCAGCGTAGTTTCCTGTCAAATGCTCTTTCTTCATGCACAAAAAAAATTACATTAAACAATGTACTATATTTTGCAAAGTACAGTGTGTGTATATAGATGTGCGTGTGTAAATATTTATACATATATAAAAAACCTTTATCACACACTATATCAGTAGGATTCACATTACTAAAATACAAACTAAAGCCACAAAATTGACTTTCAAGTATTCTTCACAACAGGAACATTCAAGTAATGAGTATGTATAATACTTACAACTGAATCATCTAAAGCAATATATTCTTGTAAAGGTGTGTGCATAAAGCATAGCACTCTGATTTGTAAAGTCTGCTTAATGAGTTTCACCACTCTAAACAGGAATTCCACACAGAAAAGCTAGCATGAATAGAAAGCAGATGGAAACCAAAGCACAAACTTACATAAATAAATGAGGGATAATAATTTGCCAGTCTCATACAGAGCTTACATGTTGTCAGCATGACTGTACGGTCTGTTAGAAGCTGCTCTGATGACACACAGAGCTGTGTCAGTGTGCCAGTTCAGCCTCAGATAGTCTCAAGTGGGACAGATATAAGTCAGTGCCTTTGGAGGGTCACTTTATCTCAGGCTTCCTTTCAGATACCCTCTGCTAGTGTTGGTTTAGTCACCAGGCTGAGCATAGGGATTCCTTTCTCTTGGCAGCCCATGACAGACTCTTTGTCTTCTCCACCCTGGGCTAGCCATGACCTTTTGCACAAATCCATCTCCTCTTTCCATTCCCAAATCTCCCTTCTTAGATTTTGGATGGATTTTGGGTTCAAGCCAGCTGATCATGGGGCTGGAGGCACATGGACATTCAGCTCATGGCTGGTCAGAGAGAGGGCTTGTATTGGTGACACTGTCAAGTCCCCCTCCCTGGACTAACTGATGTAAAGTCATGTCCAGACTCAGAAGTCCCCTTCTCCCTGTTCCCACCTGCCAGGATGCAGGAAGTGGGGAACAAGGCCTGCCTCCCCAAGGACATTTCCCAGGATCCCCCCAGGAAGGGGTTGACCTGGCTGGCTCAGGGTGACTCAGCCTCATTGCTCCTGCAAGTCAAGCTCTGTCAGGGAGAGAACAAATTCCAGTGATCCACAACACGCCTGTGCATGGAGCTTATTAGCAGTATGGGGAGCCAGGCACCCTGTTCCAGCCCTCTCCCAGGTCTCATAATTTAATTGCATTAATTAATTAATTGTATTAATTGTGGACCTACCTGCTGCATCTCATGGTCTCTGAGAAACATAGAGTATTGCTGAGTGCTGAGACTTAGCCTGATGACCAGCCCACACAGAAGTGGCCACAGTTTGTCCAACAGGTTCCCCTTCTGTTTTAGAGTACCTGGAAATCACTGAGGAAACTCCTGTCAAATGGCACAGGTTTTGTATCCACCTTGTTATGCATCTGTGCAAGTCTTGCTTGTTGTGATATTTCTGTTTGTCTCAAAAGTTATTTCTCTTTGCAGTGTGATGTCTTGGATCAGAATTTGTTAAACTTCCTCCCAGAACAAGAACACTCAGAAATTTATAAGATGTTATCTTCTTGTATGCTTATGACAGATTCTGCCTCATCGGATTACCTAAAAAGTAAGTTTCATTTTATCTTCTCTAGTAAATGAAAAAGCATGGGCAGGATAAAAAATTTTCTCCCAGAAAGATTTCTTTATGTGATGTGCAAAAAAAAAAATAGGTTCATAGCCTTTCAAAAAGATCTTGCCACCTGGAATGACCCTTTGGTTCTATTTTTAAATGAAACTCTTTGCCTTTATTCTACTAGGCTAAGACTACTTGCAGTTATGTTAATTATTAAATATCATATCATTTGAGACAGCTAAGGAAAATAGGTTAGCCGATGGAAATTGAAAGTTCGCCTGAGACAAATCACATCTTAATTGATATTTCAGCCTGTTCAAGTAAGATGTTGTTCCGAGATAAGCTAACATGGCATACCTTTGGTTTGCTTTACAGTTGGAAAATACCTCTAAAACCATTGTAATTCTTTTTCCAATTGAATTTTGTTTTTCTCAAAAATGCATTTACTTCCTCAGCCTTACTCACTCTAGGAGGTGAGATGTAGAAAACCAGAAAACACACGATAATGTAAGATGTGCAGCTGCTCAATCTACTGTATTGTACAAAACCTGCAGCTGGTAGCTAATACACCAGAGTTAATTTAATAGATACTTTGAGGTAATTAAGCATAGTTTTCCAACACAAGATATAGAAAAGCTGTGAGTTGTGAGGAGCCTAAATAGAAAAAAGCAGTAAGTGAAGGACCCAGTTCTCTCTGTTGCTGCACTGAGGCTATGGCTGTGTAACTCCTGTGATGAGGTGGTGTCAGAGAAGGGCGAGTTAATGTCCAAGGCTGTCCCTGAGCTGCAGGCACGCCTGTGCACAGCACCGAGCAACCTGCACCCCTGCAAGGCGCTTTCTTGCAGAGGCTCTGGTCCTGCCATGTATAGCACATTGGTGTTCAGGACTCCTGAGTGGTAACAAGCAGCTCTTGTGCCGCCAGTTGCAAGATTGGGGTTGGAAGACACCATTGGTTGTGTTTAGCTTAAATAGTATATTTATTTCTTCTTCTTCTTCTTTTAACAATCCAGCTGACAATGAACTAGAGTTTTATTGTCATCTTCTGAGAGGAAGTTTGAACCCAAAGGAATTTCCAACATATGAATACATAAAATTTGTAGGAAATTTTCGGTCTTACAGCAATGGTAAGCTTTAATTGTTGTATAAATATTACTTTAGCTGTGTAAAATAAAATATAAGTATTGCTCCATTGAACAAGACAGGCTTTTAACTGACAGAACTATTTTTAACATTACGGGATAAATTTTGCTTCACACGGATCTCATGGCTGAGTTGCAATAGCTGGATGAACACATGTGATGAGTGAAATTGTGTTAGTTGCTTTTGTTACTGCCCTTCACTTGCAGTGATCCTGGACTCTGGGTAAGTTTGCAAATAATGACAGGTTTAGAGGAGGGTTTATTTGTGCTCACTAATACTGTGTGCTAAGATCCCATCTATTAGCAAAATGATAATCTTGCTACCTTATCTGCTGGTTTACAATAAAAACACAAATTCCATGCCAGAACTGATCACCTGCCAAATCTGTCTTCTCACCCTTCTCTGCAAAATCTTGGGGAAAGGCAGCAGTGCCACGTGGCATCAGAATGGCTGAGGACACTGCCACCCACCTCCCTCTCCAGCTGCCTTTTTGCATTCCTCTCCAGCACTGCAGAACCCAATACTCCCCCCAAAAAAAGAGAAGAAATGCAGTCAGCATAGTCACTAATGCACCACAGTCAGTCCAGGGAAACCATCTTTCAAGAGATGAAGAGATGAAGAGTAGATTTCCACCTCACCCCTTCTCTAACAAACAGATTGCTGCACGGCCATTAGTGTCAGAAATGAAATACTCTTTTATTACTTTCTTTCTTCTGCTTGCCCAAGTTTGCTTTAGTTACTTGCCTGACTGAACTCCAGAGTGGCATTTCCAAAGTTGCTGGTATTGTTCCAAATAGGTCATCCTCTGCAAAAAAATTCCCCACCGTGCTTTCCAAAAACTGCATGCCACGCTGTGAAAAAAAATGTCCCTGTCCCCATTTAACTTTCTGGTTTTGCTCCACATGACTAGAATAGAAACCTTCGTGCAGGATGGAGATATGTATTTCTTGTTTGGTGCCATCTGATTTGAGGCTCTATTTGTATAAAAAAATGTAGCTGCCTGTGTGCTTTCTAGTTTGAATGAAGTGAAATGCGCCTGCCTGACAGACGCGCACACCAAGCTGTTCTGTTTTCTAGAGCAGAAACCGGATTTCAGGTGCTGACTCATAAGGATACATTTCTACCAGGGGAATTTCTGATCCATTTTCTTCAAGGATTTTCAGCCCTTTATTTTGGTGTGACATTAATATTGCCCCCTTACCCGTTAGGATTTCACATCACAGCAATTTCATCAGTGGCTATTTCTCAGAAGAATGATAAGACATTACCGATATCTTCCCTAGCTTAATGCATAGAAACTAAATGGGAGCATATTGATTTCAGAAGACACCAAATCATTTTCCAAAGACTCCATCTTAATAGCTTTCAAATAAGTCATGTGCTTTCTTCTACACATTTTTTTCCCCTCTTTGTGCTACTTTTTTCTAAATCTTCCACTTTATTTTGTCTCTTACTTTCTTCCCATCTCTGCTGCAGTCTGACCCTTCAGTTGACAGGGAGGGGCAGCCTTAGCCTGGCTGTGTGGGATGGTGCTTCCTGGCCCCCTTGCCACCTGACTTCAGTTTCTCCAGTTCAGTGCAGAGCCTGATGGAAATGCCTCACCGGTGCATGTCCAGCACTGCTCCCCTTTGGCAGGGAGTCACCCCCATGGCTGCCTCCCAGCAAAGGTGGAAGCAAGTGCCCTGGACTCACATGCAACAGCAGCAAAGTGTTTGCTTGGGAGCTGATACCCTTGGTTCACAGGCTGAGCAGCTGGAGGAGGTTGCAGACCTCCAAAGAGTCTGTCCTTGGATCCACTGGGCTCCCTGCACCAGCCAGCTGCACCCTGAGCAAGACACAGGAGAATCAGCTCAAGTGAGGACCATGTGAATGCTCCACCCTGTGGGGAAGGCACCCAAGGGCTGGGGGCTAGCACCTGTACTTTGGCATAGGGCCTTAAGGCACAAACAGCTTCGGGCATCTGGTGGGTGCAGTGTTGGGCTGGGTTCCTGCCTGTGCTTGGCCCACAGTTATCAGGCGCCCAGCTGTCCACAGGGCTGTCACCTGAGTAATTGCCCTCTTTTCCTCCTTTTAAGTAAATGCCCATTCTCCAGTCATCCGTCCTCCAGGTGTGAGGCCAAGTGGGCAAGAAAGAAGGCAGTGGGAAGGGTGGTGGGAGAGACACATGTCACTCAGTGCAGCATTTGTCCTATATGCATAGGATCAGCTGGCCCCAAAGCCTGCTTTTTGGAGGTGTTTGTGAAGGAAGGATTCTAAGCTAAAGATAAGCAAAGAGTTAGCTGGGGGAGAAAGACAGAAATTGCAAATTAGGCTTAATTAGCAGGAGACATTCCTTATGAATGTATTGAAGAATGTTTTTTCCCTGTAGCTTTTCACAGCAGTGGAAGTGAGAGCATGTTTTTACACATGGGAGACTGATACAGGATGTTCTTTAAGTATAAATCCTGCCGTTCCTTTTTAGCCACCCAATGTCAACTCCTACCTTTGTTTCCAATGGTTTGCTGAGCATACTCTGAGCCCACTCTGCCTGCGTGTTCCTGCCACAGGGATGCCAGAGCCTCTATGGTCAGGGAAGTTCTTTTATCCCTGGACAGGTTATATCCTATCAGGATACTTAGCTGTTCTGTTGTCATTAATGTAGAGTCATAGCAGCAACAGCCTGAGTGAATCTGTCTCCATTCCTTCTCATTTAACCTTTACTGATGTTTTTAAGAACTTCTTCACCCTCTTTTAACAGAAATGTCACTATTCTACTTCCACATAACTTTTTCTGTAACCTCCTTTGAATTATCATCTCCTTAGGTTTATTTTATTATTGTTCATTGCTCATACAGTGTTGGTGCTTGGGGCAAGGAGGTCATGCGTGTGAGTTCCCAGTCACCTCCCTCCTCCTTCCTACCTTCTCTGTTAATCGCATTGTGACTTATGGCTGAGAACATCATATAGGGGTGGGTTTGAATGGATTAATTTGAAGGATTGCAGCTTAGAAAGCCAGTTAGGGGCTTAGCTGCTCTCCCTAACTTTAAATGGGAGCTCTAGGGCTTTAAAGGCCTTTGTACTGATATGCCAAAGATAATTTTTTTCATGCTGCAGTAGAACAAATACCTGATATCTGCCAAGGTGACTTGTCACCAGAATTGCTGTCAGGGAGCCAGGTCATACACAATCTACATCGAACCTGTGCCACTCCCACAGAGGAGCAATCATAGGCATCTTCACTGATCCCAGAAGAGGCAGGGACATGCATGCAGAGGACTCAGAAATTGCCCAGGAAAGCTCTCACTGTTCATAGCAGGGATTCAGTTTTTTAGGAGATCACTGTCCCTGGAGCTCCTGAGGTTAGCTATAGCTGTGGGCTAGAGGAGCTGCCCAGCCCAGTGCCAGGGTTAGCAAGAGCCTGCACACTTGGACTGGTCCTGAGGAATCTGTGCTCTGCAAGCCGTACTGCATAACATTTCTGCAGCTGTGTCTGCACCAGGGATGTGACATGAGCTGCCTGCACACGAGTGAATCCCTGTTGCATTGGCCATGCCCAAGTGAGAGCAGCCGACCAGCGAAACAGCAGTGCAAGCTGTGCAGAGCGCCTGCATGAGTCACTGGCTGTGCTAAATCAAATACAAGAGATTTGATTTTCCATTTGGGAGGATTATATAATCATCATTAATTAAGCTTCAATGAGAAAAGCGGGACTGTAACCTGATGTGAAGATTCAGTAGTCCCGTGAGAGGCAAGGAGGTGGCCCACGGGCCACTCGGACTGGGAAGCTCCTTTTTGCTTCTGTGAGAAATGCCTACTTACTGTCAGATCATCAGGGTTGTTTTTGTTTTATTTGCAAACAGAAACTCTCTCCAATATTTTTATATATTTCAGGTTCTGGGTTTGTAGCCCAGATCTTAAAAAGAGACATGAATGTCTGCAAGCATTCTGGGAGACAAGTGCATCATTGTACCTATTGACCAGTAGTACCTGATAAGAGAGAGAGTCATATCAGCATCACCAGTGAATAATACAGTGGCTCACATCCAGTCCTGCCTGAGGGCTGAGGGGGAAGGCAAGTAATAAAGGTAACCCTCCCCAAAAGTCCAAGGAAGTGCTCAGCTCCCAGTATAAAAAGTCAAATCGAGTGAGAATAAACTATTTTACAAAGCTGCTTAATAGCTCACTCTGATAAGAGATTATAAGATGGGCTGGATTTATCCCTCCTGTGAAAATTGTCTGTGTGTTTGTAAATGGACAAAGATCTCTCATAATTATATATCCAAATATTGGCTCTGGTATCCTCTTTCTAAAGTGACACACTTGCTAAAAACTCGTGAAAGGGACAAAACCAGAGTCCTCCTTTTCAAAGAGTTAACCAATATTAAAAAGGACCACCAGCATCTTTTAAGTAATAGATCTGTCCTTTCATCCAAAATGCCTGAAGCTTTCTATTGAAGAAGAAGATAAGCATTATGTGAAAAGAGTTCCTAATCAAGTAATATAATATTATAGTGGAATTTAAAACTGTGCATTTTGTTCCCAATTACATGGCAACTCAGGAAGTATCTGGTTACTGAATGCTAATAATAGCAGATACTCTACTGTTAGCTGATACATCTCTCAGATACAATAATAAACATCAAGAAAACTACTATGTTGAGGAGAAAAAAATTGTAACTTTCAGATAAATTAAGTGCATTTGAATAAATTTTTTTAAGAAAAACAGTTGATACAGAAGATACATTGATCTTGAGCCTCCATAAGTATATGCTCAGACATCTGAAACAAGAATAACTCAGTCCAAAATGAATGTTTTGATCAGAACCAACAGCTGCATATTATTATTTGCTATTAACAAATTTGCAGCATAGAAGCTGCAGCTGACAATATGCAGCACTCAGCTAGGCTCACTATGCAAAGAGAAAACACCATTCCTGTCCTAAAGAATCTGCGTGGGATCCATATCAGCACAGGATGGCCAGGGAAGAAACAGGAGGAGCAAAGAGGAGAGAGTAGATCAAAGTGGACAGGTGATATATGGACACTGTCACTGTTATTCATCTACATAGCTACTGAGAGCAGTCTGGCTTACCACCAGCACTTTAGATTTCTTCATTATATCTGTTAATTGCCAAATATTCTGTTTATCTTAGGCCTGAATTAATTTATATTAAATTATTTTATTCTGGTCTGTTTGGCTCGTATTTTTTGAAATTACTATTCAGTTTCTTTGACAACCACTAAGACTGGTTCTTTAAACATTGACATCTCCTGACAAAATAGGAAGGAGGGATTTCTTCTTTCAAATGGCATAAGAAGGAGGTTTGCTATCTTAGGAAGATTATGTTTTACACATTCCAAACTGAAGTAAGAGGACCAAGCAACTAACTCCTGTACTATTATTAACTGAATAAAGTGGTATCTGTTTTTTTTAAACATGTTTTCATTCATTTCATGTGGCATAATTTCTCACCCTAAGGGTAAAAATTCTTTTGTCTGTGATAGTGAAGGGCTTGGTTCCTTGTATATATTATTTATTGAAACATTCTGTCCCTAGTCCTGGCCTTTAAAAAAAAAAAAAAAAAAAGAAAAATCAAAGATAGGTAAATCAGTTTCTTTGTATCTTATAAGATATTTGCAAATATTTAATAGTTTTACAAAATATTTTTGTGGTGCCCTAGGAGCAGCAGGTGTGATAGGTAACCACAAAAACCACTAAAATTCACGCTAAGGAGCATCAGCTAGCTGATACATATGAGACAACTATTTCAGCTTTCTGATTATGTATTTAGCTTTGTCACATGACCTTCTGATTCCTTACTCAAGATATTTTGTCTCAATCATTTCATTGTGAAACACACAGGCCTTCATTTACTTTCATTTACCTGTTTATGGCCAGCCTAACATTTTCATTAGGCATCTTTTGACAAAAGCGCTCCAAGCCCTATATTTGAAAACAAATGTTATTATCATCATTGCTTCAGGATTGATCCTATATTTTCTGTTCCATTTTTTTCCTGTGGCACTCTCAGAAAGTTTGCTACTGAATTTTGCTACCTCAAGATACTGTGTTTCTTTTAAAGAGACTTGGAGAGTCATAAAGTATGATTTTTCAGAAGGCTTTTTTAAAAGGTTATACCAGGATTGTATTTTTTTTTAATTCATATAGTGGTCTCTTTTTTTAACTACACTTCAAAATTCATCAATCAAGAAAGGTTGAAATTCACTGACGAGCTGCAAAAGATAGAGCTGTGCAGATAGAGCTGTGGACAAAAAAGATACCAACAACCTAAGTCAGGCAGCAGAATAATTCAGAAGCAAATGTGAGTGGGTTTTGGTTTTTTTTCAGTTATTTTAGTTGTCATTTTCAGATGGAGAATGTACTTGACAATGTAGTGGCTACCTGCCTGCATCATTGAGGCTTTTAATGCTCTGGACTTTGTCAAAGGCAGCCGAGTATGAGACGGCACAGTAGCTGTTCAAAGACAGGATAGCATCCAGCCAGGCCAGCTCTGTCTCATCTCTTTGGGCTTATTCATTCTCTGCTGCTTAAGTTCATCATTTCTAAATGTTGTGAGGAAATCCCAAATTACTGCCTAGCTGTCCTACACAATAATTATTACCCTCTTAATACTGCATTTACCTGTTGGAAATATAATCCTATTTTGTAAATGCCACTTTCAGGGATGTATTCTGCTCTTGTCTAAGTAAATGCCACATTCAGGGATCCATTCTGCTGTCTTCTGGGAATATGTCTCAGGCTCGTGGCTGTTTACATCCAACAACTGATATAAAAAAGCCATCTGCTCTCTTTGGTGTGACTCAGTCTCCACTTCCTTCTACAACTGGTGTCATTTGCAAGCCCATGGTTCACTAACTAGGTTAACTTATCATACCTGTGTTTTGGAGGCTAAATGCACTTATTTTCATATCTTAGAGCCCAGACTGCAAGAATTTGGTACTGAACTTGGCTATTACAGAGAGAAACAGCCCCACTGACTTCAAATGTCACAACATAGCAAGCTTGGAAGTAACTTCACAATGCTTGTAATGCAGGCTTATAGCATTCTCATTAATTTTTAAACAGGACTAACACAGAAATCAACAGACTTGCATTAATTAATATCAGAGACAGACCAGTAACTCTTTACTTAGGTTACTTGTGTGTCCTGTAGAACTTCACTCTTCTTTTTTTCAACTTTTTGTGTTAATAAACGCATAGAAGCCCACATACATACACATAACCCCAGGAATGGGAACACATAATCAGAATGGGAACACACATTCCTAGGGAGTCCCGAGAGCTTGTGTGCTCTGCTGGTGAAAGGACAAGGATTTTGCCAATATTTTTTCTCTATATCCAGTCAGCCATGCCCTCCAGTCTCAACTATGAGAGGACTTGACCTCTGTTCACGTCTGTGCTGTCTTCTCAGTTAAAGACCCTTGCTTTTCCTTCTTGGTGCAATACATATTGTACATGCAGTGGCCTAAACCAGTTAATCACAGGTGTGAATTCCACTCAGCATACTTTCTTTTATGTCTCATACCTTGTTATCCTTGTTACCAGTAATGCATCGATATTCTAAGGCTTTTAATAGGTTGAATCGGGTTCCAAAACATGTTCCAAACATGTGATCACTTGATACTTCTTCCATCTCTGCAATCTGTGGTAGTGAATGAAATCCCAGTGAGAAGCACCCCAGGATAAAAATAGGTAGTTATCTTCTCCCCAGATAGATACAAAACTCTTCAGTTTCACAGTAATGCTTTGCCCTGTGCAAAGAGCCAAACTGTCAGAAACTTCATGAAGGTGGATATAGGGGCCTAATAGTAAGGAGTTTCATATTAGTATTAATCCCTATTAGCATTAAATCAGCTCATATTGGTGAACTCTGGCTATTAGATAGGACCTTCTCTGCCCCTATGGGAGAAAGTTGTCTAGGCAGGGCAAGAATCCAGCCCAGTTCCCACTACAGCCTGGCACACTGTTTTCTTTTGTAGCTGTGGGAGTGGGATTACCATCTCTAAACAGCTTGAACTTGGGGGAATAGTTTGGATTATGTCATTTTAACACTGGACTGTGGACTAGTTTACAGCAGCATGTCCTTTTGGCAATGCATCTCCGTGGCAGGAGGTGTTAATGGGCTCTCAAAGCAGCTGGAGCCATGCAATCATGAAATACACAGGTAAAAATCATACGCAAAATGTGTAGCCACATCACATCCAGTTTTTCCCTCTGCCCATCTGGAGGAGACAACAGGCCATCTGCAGACTTGCCAGATGTGCTCATCTCTGGAAGTCAGTGCTATTCATGGGGTCCCTTTTCCTCTTCTTTAAAACAAAGATGACTTGAGCATATTGGGGACAGTTCTTTCTGTGCAGAAGGGGAAGGCATTCTTCAGCAGCCAAGAATCACAAGCATCCTCTTGCTAGTTTGATGAAGCCTCGTTGGCTGTGGGCCCCGGTGTTTTGCCACTGATGACTTGACGAACTCTCTTCAGCTACCTCCTTTGCCAACACTTTTTTTCACTGCATCATGGAAGTTACAGTGCTAGGCATGCTGCAGCTTTTTTTTTTTTTTTTTTTTTTTTTTCCCTTGTGAGTGGTGAAAAAGAGCAATTGGATGTGTGGGGTTTCTTTCCAGAAAACTGGTTTATGCTCTGTAATAAGGTTTGGCCTTATTTTTATCAGGATTAACCTGTAAAATTCATACTTGAAGTTAAGCTCTGATGCCTTTCTGCCTAACATGACTGACTTGGATTTAAATATATGCATATCAGCTTTGAAAGCTTTTAGAGCACTTCTCTGAATAAAAATAGTATTATTAGTACACTTGGCGTGTGCAAAATATTCAGGGAGAGCAAATCTTAGGAGGCATGACTCCAGGTCCCATTTTTTTTTCCCTAACTAGTGCCTAACTCCACTTGCAATGGCTTTGATGAGGCTGTACCAAGGGCTTACAGAACATCCCCAGGAAAGCAAATCTGCTTTGTTGCGACTGTTCGTTTGGCAACGCCTCAGTTTTTAAAGGTAAGTGCTCACCCTGGGTCCCATGCATTTCAGAACTTCACAAAACACTTTCAGATGGGGTGACACAGAAGGTTCTTAGTTTTGCTAATTGAATGGATTACAGATATCACATTTCATGCATAAAAATCCAGTGAAGAGGATTATCAGTGCAAGCCAGGATCTGTGAAAGCAGTGTCACTTCTGCCCCTATTGCAGAGGATACAGAAACCCTCTTTGAAATAAGAGTTGCAAAGTCGCTTTGAAATTTGGTTCCTCATTGCTGCTTTCTGTTCCTACAATGGGACAATGTACAAAGGTCTCAAGGGTCTTTGTTTCAAGCCTAGTTAATTCTGTGATTCTGTGATTTTGTGATACAGATGACCACCAACACTTCCATTTGTGCTCTTCGGCATCTTTGGTGGACTACTGCTTGTTTCCATTCTCACAAATCCTGGAAGTAAGATAGCTGCTTATGGTTATAAGAATAGACAAACCAAGCTTGTGCCTAACACTGCTGTTCCCTGATTAATAAATGTGAACTACTGCACCAGGTGTCCTGTGCCCAGAGTTTTTATGTAATTGAGGTGTGACCAGTATGAAATCACTGTTCCCTTGGCCTGGTTCCATTACTGCTCTGGAACTTGCAAGGTATTCTAGACTGATTCCTGACCCTGCAGGCAAGTAGAGTCCCTTCTGGGTAAGTGAGGACACTTCTCATGAATCTTAACCACAATAATCATATTAGCAGAAGGGGTGGAGTTAGAGGTTCTCTGAGAACCCTAAAAGCAAATTCCCTTGTCTTTGGATAGCTAGCATCTCAAAATAAGCAGGGAAACAAAATGGGCTACTCATGGCAATGAGCTACCCAGTGCTAGGGAGGAAGCAGCTGCTGAACAGTCCAGAGAAGGTTTTAACTGTCACAAAGTCCTGAACACACATCTCTTTGGTTCACCTGGGTGACTCACCTAAATCCCACTCTTGACCTCCTACTGTAAAATGAGTGTAAAATGTTCATCTGACCAGCTAAGGAAGACAAAATCAGCAGTTTGGTTGCACACAGCAGTGTTTGCACCTTGAATTTTAGTGTATGTTCTTGGCATCAGCATGGATTTTGGCCTAAACTGGAGAGGGGGAAAGAGGAATTTAAGGTATTTATGAAGCCCTTCACCTCTATGTAGCTAGAGACTTCAAACAACATCATTGTCAGCATTGATATGTATCAAAGAATTGCTTTAGGGGGGCACACCTCAGCTTGTTCTCTGGTCTCAACAGAGTTTAAAACATCAGTGCTCTCCTCTGCCTGAGGGACAGCAGAGAGAAGCAGTAATGGAAATGATGGGAAGGTGTCACTGAGCCCACAGCACAGGGGATATGACATCAGGGAGCAGGGGAGTAGCAGCATTGGGGGCCAGACTGTTCTTACCAGTGAGGATGGAGATCCTCCTGCAGGAGAGATGTGATGGACACAGGAACCCTGGATGCCACAAATGCAGAATGCTGCTGCTGGGAAGTCCCAGGCCAGGAGCCTCCAGGCTGACTTCAGGCAGCTCGTGGAGCTGCAGTTGCCCCTGCAAAGCACCCAGTGGGAGAGTTTGGCAGAGGAGAGCTTGGAGTGGACAGTGAGGTGGCCATGAGGCATGCAGACAGCACAGGTGTGTGCTGTGCTGCCATCCTTCCCTCTACTTCCCACCTCCACCTAGCAAGTGACCACCACTGACTGCCTCCTGATCCTCATCTCCCTGCTCCTGCCTCACAGACAAAAAGCCATCTTCTCCTCTGCAGCTATTGAGGGAGAAGAAGTGTCCCCCTTTCTCAGAGATCTTGGAGGGCAGACATCCAACAGGACCAAGGGTGGTGGGTATCTTTAGTAACACAGAGGGAGTGAAGCAAGATGTGGCAAGCCCTGGTGGGATCAGGCACAGGCTGGATGCTGAGAAAGCCCACGGCCATCACACCCCAGGCATTGCTTCAAAGCCAAAAAAGTTTTGGCACCCTGAGGCACAGTCTCAGCTCTTAAGTACGCGTGCATTACAAGTTCTACTCCCTACCTCCTATAAAAAACTTTGGCATTGATAAATACAATAGTTTGCTCTCTGGAATGGCCAGAAAATGGGTGAATCCTCTGCTTTCTCCTCTTACGCACCATGTATTTTTAGCTAACAAAAGCTAAATGAAGCAGAGGGGTGAAGCTCCAACTCTCAATAAGTCAGTTTTCTCCATTGGACAGGAGATGTGCATCGTAGAAGAACCTCTAGAGGAGTTCACATCAAGACACAGTCTGGAGTGGAAATTTTTATTCCTGGATCACAGGTTGGTGACAAGAAAAGCCCTGCTGCTTTTCTACTACTATTTCACAAGTACAGTTTTCTCAAGCAGTGTTCCATTTCACATCTAAATCTCATGAAAAGGAGGGCTGCCACCGAAATTCCTACAAAAGCTGATGTTTACTATTTTACATTTACTTTTGCTTTTATTTTAATGGGCTTTTAAAACAAAAGGACTCTGTTTCTTCAGCTGAATTTGTGATTAGCTTGTTCTTCCTTCCTTTAAAATTATCAACAGACCAAAGTCTGTCACATGGCAAAATGATCTAATTATTATACAGCTGCAGAAATCCTTCTTTCCAAATCCAGTCACTGATTGCGTGTGTGCAATTCCCACTGAGTTACGGAGGGAAAGTCTTTGCTGGCCTGAGGCATCTGTTCTGGCAAAGGTACAAAGCAAATGCCTCAGCATGCCACAGATGAGCTCTCCAGGCATCCAGAGGAAAGCAGCACAGATTATTTCCTCTCTTATCCCCCCAGTACCACCAGATGATGGCTCTCAAACACCTCCCCACGCATTCTCCCCTGTGTAAGGACTGCAGGAGCCATTGCAGAGCCCCTGACCAAGCAGCAGCCAGGGAACGGCTCCCTCATAGCAGATTCCTGTGTAAAGGTCCCTGAGAAGCTGGACTACTTTCCATAATCATAATTTCCCTGAAGAAGGAGTGTTGTCATAGTCTTGTCCTGGTGGGATGGTGCCTGCCGGTATTGCTGTGCCCAGCTGGGTATCCCAGGCTCAAGGTGGGGGAAAGCCAGGAGCCAGCCCTCTGAGGTGAACAACTATATACTGATAAGTGAAAGTAGATCTGGGCTCTTTGCCTTCTGCATCAACATGCAGAGCTGCTTGTTCTGTGTTTTATGGACTCACATTGTGCCCAACCGCAGAGCACCGCCAATTATCGGATACTTGCCTTTTGAAGTGCTGGGTACTTCTGGCTACGACTATTACCACATAGATGACCTAGAGCTGCTAGCAAGGTGCCACGAACACTGTAAGTATCACATGGCCCAGGTTCCTGGGAGGTCACTGGGACACCTCTTTTCAGTGTTGTTTGGAAGGGGAGGTTTGACTCTTGCCTCAGCCTGTGTATCTTAGAAGGGCTGTGGCAGACTGCGGGCACTGCAGCTGGTTGGAATCTGGGACAGACCAAACTCTGAAATATATGATTTTACCTTCTGTGTCCCCAAAAGTAGTCAGTGAGACTCACTGAATGGATAAATTATGCCAGATTTGACCCCTGTTCTATTAATAAAGAATATGAAGAAATAGTTCAAGCAATTCTTGTGGATTATTTCCCATGTTGCTCATTGTGTTTCCAATGTTGCTCACGGTGTATTTGGGATTAGCTGTGATTATTTAAATACTATCTATTAGGATTTAATTGAAAAACTCTTTCACTAAGCAAAGAAAATAAGGCAATGCTTTTCAAATATTTGCTTACAAAACTGGCTATAATATCTCAGCTTACCACCTCTGCCTGTCTTGAAAGTATCGTGTCAACATTAGTTTTTATATGTTGACATTGAAATATAGAAAGGCTAAATATGTGGATGTTTGGAAACCCCTTGAAATCACTAGAGGGGAAAAGCAGAGATTAATTTGGTTGGTGAATCTTCAAAATCTTCAGTACACCCTGGTTTACTGTAGTTTGAATTTTCGTCAGTCTGGGAATTTTCTTTGAAATTATTTTTGTCTTTGCACAGTGCTATCTCCTATGATAAACTCACACTAAATACATCTATCTGCCCACAATACTCATCTTTTCAAGCATTTTTATCCTGTACTTTTCTACTCTAGAATTTATGATCACTCTTGGAAAATAATCCCAGGTGTTTAATTAAGCAGCATGTGATCAGCACATAAAGCAGGGCAAGATCTATGTTTAAATTGTAGCGGACATTACTTCATTAATGTCCAAACTTAAGGTTAATTGTACCGTGTTGGAATGTCCTACCCAAAGTGTCAGAGGAAGATACCTACTAATCATTATGATTTTTTGTTCTGTCAGAAGGCTGAGAGGAGCACTTACTCAAAGTTGGTGTTTATACTCATGTCTACCTATGACAGATATTTTTGTCACTTTTTTTTTCACTTTTCATGTCATTTTCATGTGGGAAATTGTGCTACAAGCTGTGTGTATTTTCTGCTGGCAGTGATGCAGTTCGGCAAGGGGAAGTCATGCTGCTATCGGTTTCTGACCAAAGGACAGCAGTGGATCTGGCTCCAGACCCATTACTACATCACCTACCACCAGTGGAACTCCAAGCCAGAGTTCATTGTGTGCACACACATGGTGGTAAGGTATGGAAAATCCTATCAACCAGCCGGGACATAAAGGGCAGTAAGAAAAGATCATCCTCCTATCTGTCAGCATTTTCTTTTAAAAATATAACATCATTTATATAACAAAAATATTAAGCCTGAACTTTCTGAAGAAAATAGGGTCATTATAGCAAATTATCAGACCAGACCTTAGTTTATGTTAAGCTTATTTATTTATTTTTTTTGTTTTGTTTAGAGGCAGATGAACTATGGCACTTTTTCATTTTGTGCAAAAATAGAGAATAGACAGATCCCTTAAATATTCACTTCCTCTAATCCTTAAATTGTTTTTAAAGAGATGTGTAGAAGCTTTCCAGTGAAGTCATGAAGTGATTATAGGGTGTGAACCTGACCTTTTTATATAGCTCTTTAATATGCATCTCGACTTCAAGAAGATAGGAACAGAGAAAAACCTAAAAATTAAAACTCTCAAATGTTATTCAGTAGTATTTGACTTAAGTCACTTTTCAGCCGTCAATTTAACCTCTAAAATGTATAGTAATTTGTTCCTCCACTCTCTTAAAGCACATTTTAAGAAATATAGCAATTCCATGTTGATATGTAGAATTATGTTTTCCATTCAGTTATGCAGATGTTCGGGTGGAGAGGAGACAGGAGATGGGCTTGGAAGAAGTGTCTTCAGAGGTTGTGTCCTCGGCACTAAAGGTATAATGAGAAAATCTTTTTTCATGAGTTTATGTAGCAATCACAACTTGTTCCTATATTAACATCACCAAAGACTCCAGCATTGTCTTGCTCCAGTGCTGGTGGATTCTCTCAGCTTCAGAACTCATTGTTCACTTGAGGAATTTTGACATAAATTAGGTGAGTTTATGAAAGGATAAACATGGAGATCAGTAACAGCCACAAATGAAATGGAACATGGGCAGGGGCAGTGTGAGATATCTCAACTTTTCCTTGGAAAGGTAATACATTTAAAGATTTATTTGGATGAGTTCTGGCAATCAGCCCTCTTGGCTACATCTCATTTCTTCATCTTGAGGAAAGACAGCAAAACTCATCTTCAGTGCATGGCCTAGTGTCTCACAGAGGTTGCAGTTGCTGTCACATCCAACTGAACACAAAAGAAAGATTCAGAAAAACATCTGAAGGCACAAAGTGACTATGGCAGTAGCTCGCTATTTATTTCTAACTCAGTGATAGTTGTTTGTAAAATGAATTAGTTTCATGCTGTTTGGAAGGGGAACTGATGCCTTTGTCCAGGCCTTCTGGTGGCCTACCTGAGATTAGTTCTGCTCAAGTCATTTTAGGTCTGCCAAAGAACTGGTGTGCAACCAGTACTAAATTTAAAAATGCTTTACCTCTGACAGATGCAATAGCTGTTCTCCTTTTCTGTTTTGTTTTAGGACAGTGGCACCAGCTTGGATCCTGAACAGCACTTTAATGCACTTGATATTGGTGCCTCAATCCTCAGCGCTAGTCGGACACCCTCAGTATCATCCAGGAGCTCGCCAAAATCTTCCCACACACCCAAGTCAGACCCAGCATGTGAGTGGCATTCCTGAGTTATGGAATTATTTTTAATTCAGCTAAGTTAAAGAATGCGTACTTACATACCACAGCTGCTAATTAACAGTAAATTATGAGGTATTGATGATATGCGCTGACAAAGAAGTGCAAAAACTGAAATGGTAATGTACAGGAGGGAAGGTTCTAGCACAACCACCTAAATACTGTAAGATGAACAGTGGGACTAGATGTGAAATGTGCTGTTTCAATCTGTTGCAAAAATGAGGATTTTGTTTTTAGCTTTTAGGGCATCAGTGTGAGCAATATGAGACTTCTCAAGACTTACATAAGTAGTTAACAGCCTGTGGGTGACTCTCCTTTGGCCAAGATTTAGGATGCTCCAATGTTGACTTGGGTATACTCTTTCTGCTTCCCGGTCTGGAAGAAAAGCCAATAAGCTAACCTAAATTTACAGTTATTGAGCCCATATAAAGGGAATTCCAGCTGGTTTAGAACAGTTTGTGGGCCCTTTTGTACTGCTCATTGGAGCATAGAATCATAATCTGTCTCATTTACTTTTATATCTTCCCAGACCCTCCTTATCAGTTTAATTTTACTGCCATTGAAGTCAACAAGAACATCCCTGACTCCCACTGGAATTTAGCCAGGCCATAGCAGTTTCTACCCAGGTCTTGTATTACCCACTTCAAACAGGGTTGATTTCCAGCATGTAAGATCTCACTGGTTCTCTTCTTGCAGCTACACCAACAAAGCTGATTACAGAGTCTAACACTCCCTTGCCAAGAACGCCGAGCACACAGCAGGATTTATCCGTGCATAGACTCAGCCAGCCTACTGCTCTTCAGGTAACTTCACAAAGGAATCATGGAAATAGGCAGAGGGTGTAACAGCATGTGCCACATACGCACCTTAGCAATTAAAAACAACTTACACAGAAGCCATGGCATTAGAAGAAACCTAAAATATAAAGGAGCCAAACTTATCAATAAAGTTTTGGTTTGTTTTGTTTTTAACCTAGGTTTCTTTGCCTTCTCAGCTTCCATGTGAGCTTCTCCCACAGCAGTTGCTGCCTCAAGCAACTCTGCAAAATCAGCCTGCACCTCTGGCACAGGTTAGTTGGGGATTTGGAAGTGGAATAGGTCACTTGCTTATCTCCTGATATTTTCTCATTTTGGGGCTTTTAGGTTACCTCTCTAGTAACTAAAATCCCCAAATCCAAACTCTCAAACACTTAAAATATTGTGGGAAAGTAATCTGAATTGTACACTTGTATGTTTAAACATGTAACTGCATGCAGGTGTTCAGAAGCCCAGGTGCGTGTAGGTTCAGATGTGCACACATCTATTTCATGGGAGGACAAAAAACAGGTGGAAAAAGACTTTACAATTTTGCTTTTACAGAACCAGGTCCCATGAAGATCAAATTCACAGTGAGAATTAAAACCAAAAACAAACAGAGACACCCAGTCCTTCTAAAAACACCTGTTTGGCTGTGCTGATGCAGAGCTAACCAGCAGTTAAGGACATGCAAATTCTACAACACCCATTTTGTGAGTGTGCCAGTAATGGTGAGGATGCCACTGAAGACAAATTTCAAATTCCTCCAATCTATTAACCCATATCTCAAAAGTGGGCGATGGCCCAAAAAGGGTTACATTTGCAGTGGATTTTGAAGAAGCAGATTTGAGTACCATGTTCCCAGCACATTGTTTTTCTCCTGTGGTCCTGCTGTGATGATACACCCCATCATCCTCTGATTTTAGGAATGACTGAGTATTGCTGGACCCAAGCTGCTTCTACCATTGATACTGTATACTCACTCACGAGATCCCAGAGTTTATTTCTGTAGCACATAAAACATATAGAGTCCTGAGGATGCTGGCTTTAAAATAACAAATTCTCATTTATCTTCCATGTTTAATATTCTTTTCATGACTCCATGTTAGCATGCAGTGAATAAACAGCATATCAATTATCTGCTCTGAGCATTCATTTTCTTTTACAGATACTTCTCTCCGTTATTCATTAATGCATTTTCAAACATCAATTAGTTTATGTATGATAAGTCTCCGTGTGTTTTGTTTGACTTTTTTCTACTTCCCTTTCTTCTCCTTCAAAGCTCTTTGTGAAGAGAGGCTTTCCAGTTGTTTACCAAGAGCCCTGCTGCCTTGTCCCTTCCCAGTAAAAGGCTCTTACTGGCACACCAGCTCCAGGTTTTTTTCTGACAAATTTGAGTGCTGTCCAGTCACTGGTTAAGCCTCTTTGGGCCACCTAAATCTTGGTGAAAGGAAGATGGCTGACTTGAGTCTGTCTACAGAGGCAGCCCTCTGGTAGCAGTCACAGCAGTACATCTGGCAAAACTCAAGATGAAGCTCAACGTGGAGCAGGGAAATAACACCAGGACATTGCAGTTCAGGCTGCTGATGTCCACACTCCACAGGAAAACTCCTGCAGAGAGTACCAAATCTTCACACACTTGAGTGATTTTCATAAACTGTTATGAATATTATGATACTATGCTGTATCACGCTTTAAAATCACACTTTAAAATAATTAACATGTCAGCCTACAGCAACATAATTAATTATTTAAAAGGCAAAGATGTCTGGAGCATTAGGTGAGTGAGGGACAAAACCAGGTACATGTGCATCCCACCGAGAACACTTCCTTGGCTTCCTAGCTGACCATTTCCCAGCAGTTTAGTGGCAGAACACAAACTTACTGCTTTTAAAAATAGTGTGGCAGGTGCTCTGGTGCCAGCTCACAAGGAGGAGCTGCACAGGTTTCTCCCTGCTGCCTTTCTGCCACTTGTCCTTAGCTGAAGGTGACTGATGGTACGAGCTGGAAGGCCCTGGGTGTCCTTGTGGCTAACATTTGGCTACAGGGTGGCAGCTGCAGGGAAAATTATAAGTGGCCACAACTGTGTTTGCAGCGAGCAGCTAGCTGCTGCCTCGGGCACCATCTGCTTGAACTTTGAGTAGTTTTATTTCCAGGAAAGGCTGTGATGGTTTTGTCTCCGCTGAAATGGGATTTTAGCTTCTGCCTTGCTTGTGTGAGTGAACAGACAGCACAGTGTCACCCTAGATGTCACCTGAATGTAAATTGTTTACTTTAAATCAAGTGCTCCCAATAAGAATATTTGTTTGTTTGCCTTCCTCATTGTCATAAATTAACATCCCCTACAACACAGCGGATGTTAATGACTGAATAATAATTAACACTAATAATCTGTTTGGGATTGAGCAGGTGTTATTCAGATGACAGGAGAACAAGTTGTTCGGTGAGCTGCAAAACTAATGAAATCCAGTTTCCCAGGGCCTGTTCTTGCAGGGCTGGTGCATGGAGCCAGCCTTTCCCACAGGAGGAAGGGTTGAGTGGATCCTTCTCTCCTTTGCTCAGCTAAAGCTTTCATGAAGTTACAGCAATCTGGTATTTTTGACACTCTCACAACTCTGTTGAATGTCTCCAGCAAGAAACATGGCTCATCTCTTGGGCCAGAAGGATTGAAAGAAAGTTGGAAGGTAGGCAGAAAAGAAAGTTTTAAAGGAAACTGAGCTAAAAAACAATAGGTTCTATTTTCTTTACCCGGCTGCCTGTTGTCATGACACTTGTAGGAACACAATGTCTTGAGATATCCAGCTTTTTGTTCATCACATTTGAGATGAGGAACCATCCTGACAGACACAGAAGTTGCAGGGCCCCTCCCCTGGCTGCAGCCACCCAATTCCTAGAGAGAGGGAGACACCCTGGGATGCTGGGGTCGCACTCAGTCCAGAAAAACACTTCTCCTTGGGCATGGTCCAGCTAGTGTCCTTCAGATGCCCATGGTGGAAGAGAGGAACCACAGCATGGAAGTGCCCATCCCTCTTCCTGGACTGTAGAGCCTCCCTGGACCGTCACCAGCACTAGTGCATTGATTCCATCCCTACCAGAACATCTGCTGACATGATCCCAAATGCATCACTTTATTTTACTTTATTTTTTAAGAAACCAGATAAAGTTACTGCTGTGGGTTTTGCTTGTTTCGGGTTTTTTTTTTTTTTGCTTGCATTAACAAACCTTGATTAAACTAATGCAGCTATAGAGATCTCACAGCTTTAGTTTCCCATTATACAATTAGAGATTTCTCCCTTAATTAGTAGAGCAGTTAATGATCTTGAGATAAATACTCTCTGGTGCAAGTCAATTGCTGATAGTGTCTCATTGTACAAAAACAATAGAAGCTCTGTAAGCACAGGGGTCATGGTTAGAGTTATCAACTGTTTGGGGGTTAGAGTGGGAAAAGGAGAAAAGCAAAAGAGAAAGTTCCTTGTCTTCATCCGTAACAGCTTTCACTCCAGTATACCAGCTAGTTGTTGGTGTTAAGTATATTAATACAAAAAGCATGTAAAAAAGAGAACAAAAAGACAACGTAAGATGAATATACTAAATATAAGAACCTGCACAAAAAAAATATGGAATAATATTTTAAAATCAACAGCAGTATATTCTTGTGTGCAACTTTACAAAGCAAATTCAAATTTAAAAGTAAGACCTAGAAATGAATTTTGTTTCTTTTTGAAGTATTAAGTGATTGTGAAATTACCTGGTTTAAAGTTCCTTACATTGATCCATTGAAGAAAATCGGGTTCCTTTCTCAAAGAATCTTCAAGGAATTTGCATGTTAATCAAAAGTCTGCCATCACCAAGCTGGGTGGTTAAAACGAAGCTCTAAAAACAGCTAAAACTGTTTTTAATTCCTTTTCTAATAAGGATCCTTTTAAAAACTTAAAAGCAGTCCTCACTAAAAGAGTTCATATTGAGATAATTAGATTATGAGACTTGTCTTTTAAAAAGATCCTTCTGTACAGACCCAGGTTAAAGCAGGAATTAGCTGCATCTTGTTTATGATCTGTTGCTCATAGCATCATTCCACTCCTAAAATCAGGATACCTGGGACTTTTCAGAACCATATGGCTGGGGACAACAAGCAGCACTGGATTCTCCTTTGAGTCACTTGCTCTTATTCCCGAACATCTGAGGTCCCTGCTCAACCATTCCTCAGGTTAATTCTTTATACATGGATGAGAAAGAAAGAAAGAAGGAAACCCTGCTCTGTCTTCTCCTCTGTGACACCAATTCAAAGTAACACAAACTTCCCTTTGGGAGGTTTGACACCATCTTCCTGCTCTGGGAGAGGAGCAGGTTGCAGATGATGGCACTGCTGTTCACAGGCACAAGCACCATGAGTCACAGGGCTCATGTCACCTCCTTGGGCAGACAGCACAAGCTGTGAGTGCTCACAGATGCCTCTGGCAGCAAAATGGGCTCTGAGGGCTTCTGTCACCAGCAACTGCAGGTGCCACCTTAGCAGCCCTCCTTGCCCCTAAGCAGGGCTGGCTGTGAGACTGACCTCCACCTGGCCACTACGCTGTGCAGTGACCTCTCAGGCTGTTGGGAAAGCCACCCTCCACCTGATAAATGGAATAAACCTTCTGAAGTTCTTGCTCTGTCTCTGCCAAAGGCCATTTACTTGGAGATGTCAGCTTTGCTACAGGGTACTTTCAAGGTACTTTCACATACTTAACTGGTTTAAGGTGAACTAGTTAGCTTATATAAATCTTTTCTGTCACATTTAGCTTTCTCTAAGTAGCCAGAAATTTCATCCAAGGAAGTGTACAGTACTGCTAACACCAGAGCACTCCTTAATTCCTGTCTTGTTTTCTTCTTCTTTCCTACTAAAAAGCCAGAAACAAACTATAGGGACAGGGCAGCATTTTCAAGTTACAGCAATTTTTTTTTTCTTTTTCTTTTTTTGCCTGTACACTCATAGCCCTGTATGTTTTCAAAAAGATCTTGGATGCCTTGATTACATAAAAACCTAAAAAGATTATTTGAAGGGTTTTTTCTTTTCTTCAAAGACTTTTTTTTTTAACCTTTGGAATATGAGCTTATGAAAAGCAATTATTCCAAAACCTATTAAAGTAATTATTAACTTTGGTGAACTTTGAATCATACCTGAAAGCACCATATACTAGGGATTTATTGCTGTTAGTCCTCTCTTCAATTGTTGAATGATTTCAGTTTGTGCCAGTGTGCTGCTATTGGAGGTTGCACCTGCTTCTTGACCTTGATTAATGATCTCCATTTTTTACTGTTATTTAGAACAGCCTTTCTTCCATTGAATTGAGCTATTCATTTTACATCACATATAAAAATAACTTAATGAGTATTTCTTGTCTCTTAAGTACTACTCAGCTGAACAAATTCAGAAAATGTTTATTGTGGTCTGTTGTGTGATGCCTTAGTAAGTCATCAGCAGAATGAAGCATTGCAGAACTGCTATTTCTGTGCAGAAGGAAAGCATTAGTGAAACACATCTGGATTATACTGTTACACCACAGTAAGGGCTCCAAACTACAAGCTAATGAAAATAATGCTTTCATTTGCCATCCAATTAAGATTCTATTGATATTTTAAAGTAGCATGCTCTCAAAAACAGTCCTTACTGACAGAAAAACAGAACACGGTCAACTGTATGCAGATCATTCTAGCTGAGGCAATTTAATATATGTGCATAACCCTCAAAATAGTCAAGATCTGTCTCTTCCTACATGTTAGAATATCACAAATACATTTTCCTTTTTCAGCTGTGCTTTACAATCAAGAAACCAGTAACTCCTTGCTGAAAAATGTTCTCTGAGGCTTGTTTGTATTATAATTACTGATTTCCCCCCACCCTCTTTTTTTTTTTATTTTGCCCCCCAGTTCTCAGCACAATTCAGCATGTTCCAGACCATCAAGGACCAGCTAGAGCAGCGGACACGGATCCTGCAGGCTAATATCCGGTGGCAGCAAGAGGAGCTCCAGAAGATACAGGAGCAGCTCTGCCTGGTCCAAGACTCCAGTGTACAGGTGTGTTACTATTGGAAGGGGCAGAGTCAAGCATCCTCTCTCACATGACTTGGCAACTTGCTCCAGAGTCAAGGATATCTGGACAAGTGGAAACTAGCTCATCTGAATGAGGATGTTGCCCCCTAAAACCCTCATTGAGTAACCTATGTCAAGAAAGATCTAAGAGCTCTCTGGTAGAAGAGAAGGAATACCTCAGCATCAGGAGGAGGAGAATAATTTGGGTCATTTATAATAGCATTTTATTATTTTATCTACCAAATCTTCAGACTGACCAGCTATAGCTATATTCTGTAGTAGAAAGAATGTTGAAGTTCAGACTGCCTTGTCACATTAAAACCCCTGAAATGCTGTTGATGTTCATTTGTTCACACCTGGGAAGTATCTGAATTTGTTCTTCACCAGACAGGCTTAAGCCTTTAGGGTGAAGCTGACTGAGCCTGCTCTGCTTCTCCCTTTGATACCTCCTCCATGGAGGTAGTGTTCTCTAGTACAGTATGTGCTTTGTACCCCTTACGTCTAGCAAATCTCAGAAGTAATGGGAAGTGCATTATTTGATTAGTCAATCACAGGTTTCCTTTAACAACAAATGGACAAATCATCCAGTTTTATGGAAGTTTTCTGAATGTGGGGTGATCACTGTTATGTTCCTCATAACTTAACTATAAATGCCTGGTTAAATGATCCTTGCAAGTAATATGGCACTGGGGACTCTGAGTATTTTATTAACAAGATGATTTTGTCAAGGAAACAAACATCTCAAAGAGTATTTTACGAGCAGGATGCAAAGATGGGACCTACTGAAGTCAGTAGGAATTTTGTTTGCAACTTACACACAGAAACAGACTCTCACCCATCATCAGCATCTGGGAAATGCAGTTTCACACATTAACAAATTGGGATTGTATGTTTAGGTAATTAAGGGATCAGCAAAGCTAAATTATAAACTTTGCCACCTAAGTTGCTGCATGTGCAGTGTTGTAAGACAACACAGCAACTGTGGGTTCCAAACGTGGGACTCCCTGTTCCTGGTGCCATACAATCACATAGGGAGACCAGGTTTAGCTTCAGTGTGTTTCTTCTATTGGTTCTCCGCTGACTTTGATTAATGGGAAGAGAAAGTCTCTCTGCAATTAACAGGTATTCAGCTCAGAATCATGTCATATGTCTGAAAGCTATTATTGTTATTATGAATATCAAGAGACATGATATTCTCACTTCCTCTCTTTTTAACTGTGTGACAACCATTACTCTCTCCTGGTGACATCTTCAATAATCATACATGCTCTTCTTTTTTTCATTATTCAGACAAAAATAGAATTTCAAAGCACATTCTTATATGCAGGAAACAGATTTTATTTTTAGAAAGCTGTCTCCTATATGCATTAAGGTGCATTTCATGGGAGAGATTCTCATACACTCAAAGGGAGCTCAGGCAGAGGCCCAGAGGGTAAATGGTGGGTTGTTCTGTACTTCCCACCCCTTACCAGTTTTTGGCTCTGAGTTACACCATTTGGGTGATGCCCTCTCCCATGAAGACTGCACCAGGTTGGAGTAAGTATTTTCAGACCATTACAAGTTCTCTGGTATCAGTACTTACCATTTACCAGCTTACTGCATATGCAGAACTGAGAGGCAGGGAGATTGGAAAAAGCTTGGAAATGCAGAGGGCTGCATATTTGCCTGAAATGGCAATGCTGCATGGGGATAATCCAGCAACGCTGGACAGAGAATACAAAATCTGTATTTTGTGTGCTTTTTGGTCTCAGAGCAATTAAACAAGGTGATGAGATGCAAGTGGTCACACTCACTCCTGGCCAGGGCCTTTTTCTTCTCCCACTTTCTCTAGGTAAAAAACCAAAAACACAGAAATAAATGACTGTGCTGTTGCAGGGATAGATTGAGGCAAGGAATTAATTTTGTCTTACTTGGCTAGGGGCAATTTGAAAGAAAGCCTCACACTTTTGCATGCAGCTCTTTCATGACTCACAAGCAGCGAGGAGTAAACTGTTAAATCAGAAATCCAACCACGTGCTTTGCCGCACAGATTTCATCATTCAGGGAGCTGGATGTCTGCAGACATTGATCACACTGTGTCTACTATCAAAGCTAAAATGCATAGTAACAAACAGGCTACTATCAGGCACATTTGTGGTGTCTTTAATACACTGCGTAATAGAGCTGTAAGCGTGGGGGAGTGATGTAGGCTGTCTGAACAGGGGGAAGTGTTCGCTGCTTTTCCCTTATTAGCTGATTTATTAGCATGTCATCCCCACTGGTTCACTCCTTTCTGCACAGAAGTGTACAGGTAGCTCCATGGAGAATTAAGCTCGATTTCCATTTCCTTCAGAGATCTTCAAAACTGAATACAGCAGTCCACGAAGAAATGCTTTCACAGCGAGACAGGTGCTGAGCACAGTAGTCTGCATTAGAAACTGTTTGCGGAAGCCTTGTGCAGAGAAAGATGAAACTATCGGGAGGATTGCAGGCCCTGAATAAAAGTGTTCAAAACTCCATTAAATCTCTGTTACTGCTTTTCCTGACAATGAAGGACAAGAGCAGAAAGAGTAACCTCAGAAGTCTGAAGGATGCTGTGTCTGCTCCAGTTTGAACAGTCTAGCTAATGATTCGCAGATGCAGAGGAAGGCAGAAAGGCTGAGCCTGACCAGCTTGCAAGAACTACAATCAAGACCATCCACAGCCACCCATCATGTGCAAAGCAGGCTCTCTTCTAAGTCCATGCATCTCAGCTTCCCAATGCTGTGCTTCTCATCTTCATATATTTTACATAAAGAAAGAGTCTTGATGCCTGTAATGATGAACCCAAAAGCTATAATCCCCTGATTATCCAAAGAACAGGTAGAGTCAAAGAGATGTTTTGCTCAGGATGCCTTGTCAGTGTGATGCAGTCATTAGCTGTAGGGCCCATCTAACTTGGAACAAGGGGGCAGCAGTGTCAGAGGGTCCCTCCTCTTCCTCGCTGCTTTGCTGTGTATGTTAACAATCTGGCCAATTAAAAAATGTTTGTAAGATGCTTCACTGACCTTGCAGTCCACAAAATCACCAACGAGACATCATTAGCAGCAATGCAGTTAGAAGGCTGCTAATTTATCTGCTTAGACAGGGAAAGATTTTATTTTTTATGAAAAGGTTTGTCTTGTTATTTAAAGCTGCTGTATTTCAGTGTTTTGAGGGAATTCGGACAGGACTATCACAAAAGAGGCCCATTATAAAAAAACACCATTAGGTACAAATTAAGCTTTTAGGTTTAAGTAGCAGGTGGAAATTTCCACTCTTCAATCCTCTGTCACTTTAACTCTTGTTTTGATAAGTCAAGTTGAGTCTTCAGCTCTGCAGGGACATGGTCACCATTGCTTCTCGCTCTGAGTTTGTTTTTCCAGGTCATTCATGTCCAGAGGGTAACAATGCTGCTTTGGCCATTGTAATGGCAACAGAGAGTCCCCAGGTATGAAACACTTAGAGCCCTCTTAGGGTACAAACATGTGAACAAATGAAATTGGCCTGCTGGGATAAGCTTGGTTTTAAATTTATGGTGTGTTAGCTGCTAACCATTAACTGTGCACATTCCTACCCAGTGGCACACTCTGGTAATTGCAAAGTAGGTTACTCTGCTTTCTTTGGAGGATAAACTCCTTGGCCTTTATCTGGAAGTGAGGTAAGCACACAGGGAGGTTCCTGCTAAGTAAGTAGTCTGCTGCAAGTTAGTTTACAGCCTGCCTGACATTCGCCTTGAATTTGCATTGGGTGAACTGAGTGTTTCTCCAGTGCCGTGCGCCATGTACAAGGAGGACACTAAGCTAATCCTCCCAAAGGTCTTCATTTGCAGTGATCTTTCCAGTTCCAGTGGGCTCACACTCCCTCCTCATCACTTTCTTGACATGTACCACTTGCTTTGCCTGTTCTGAATTCTGTATTAAATTTTTTATCAGTGGCAACCTGTTTCACTGCTAGGGCTAATCAAGTGACTTCATGTACTAAACATGTCCAAATCTTAGCTTCTATGTACAAAAAATAAACAAGAAAATGAATTTTCATGATATTTGTCTGTGATTTATTCATAATAAGACCTATTTACTTGGCAGAAGTTGCGAGACCATCTGTCTTTCTGATATGTAATGGCTCCAAACTCAGTGAGTAGTGTTTTTAAAAGAAAACACTCGGAGCTAGTGCAGCCCCAACCCTGTCACTTGACCCATTTATTCCTATCAGACATCTCTGAGATGTGGTTAGCCTACAGCACCTGAAACAAGCTGTTGCTTTTCCTTAATTGCCCCCCTGTCCCAGCTGATTAATGTAAGCTTTGTCGGTACCTTTTTTCCTGGGTAAAATCTTGGCACACAGAAATTAATTAAAAATTTATCATATTTAAATAAGCTGTGTTTTTAAAGCTAGATAAGTAAGTACAAACATGATGGATCAAGCCATACTTCTGCAAAGAAAAGCAATACATTATGTTGGGCCTTTGGAGAAAGGTATAGGCTTTTTCCAGGAAAAATTAGAGGGGACATGATAGTTTAGGGAATTGTTAATATAGCAATAAGCTGCACAAAGGTGTACTAATTACTGGGCATACCTCAGATGTACTGCTAGGCATGAGACTGATGGATGAATAATGAAGAGAATAATTGTGATTCTGATTTCATTTAAAACTTAAGTAGCTTCAGTTAAATTAATAGAGTTCCACACATGTAGCAGTGGTGTGGAATCAGAATTGGATCCAAAAATTACGTCAACTGTGTGGGATGTGTATCTCCATACAGTCCTTGGTGGCAGAAAGGCTAGGTCTGAAATACTGCAAAGAGAGCTTGTAGCATTAATAATGCATGGTTTTAAAAGATTACTTTTCCCTCTTTACAGCTGTAATAAAAGAAATAGCCCCGAGAAAAGCAAAAATTCCCAAGTCCTATAACTTTCAAAGAAGAAAGCTTCATCTTTAAAGGCAGACTTAGAGAGGACATCATTTACAGAAACACTAAGAGAGGAGCTGCTAGCTCTTTTGCACAAGTCAAATGCATGGCACAGTTAGGAAGAACACCAGGTGACAGTTACCTGATGGGAAATCAGATAAATGACAGCGACTGTCTGTTTACACATCCTGTCAATGATAAGGACACGGTCATTCAGCTTGGAGAGCTCTGGCCTGACTGTGACCTCATTAAAAACATTCGACAACTCAGCTGGGTGTAAAGTGTTGAATTTCCAGAGACAAATTCAAAGACAGCTCTGTCTGAAAGGCAGGTGGATTTTGTTAAAAGGAGAAACAAAGGACTGAAAAGACATGGAGTTACTCTCTTCTCTTTGGTCAGGATGCCCCAGAACACAGTAAATGTACTGGGAACTGCTCTTAAGAGGGCTGTGCCTGCCCCATGGAGAGAGGACTTGCACCTTCAAGACACATTTCACAAGTAATGGGTGCACTTGCAGAACAAGAAACCAAGAAACAGTAGAGCTGTTAATGTAGGAATGACAGGTGATTTCCAGCTAACAGTAAATTTGTTATTAGTCAAAATGTGTTAACTGTATTTTTGAATATATCCTTGAATTTACTTCTGTCACATTCATTATTCAGGACATCTGGGCTATGTAAATAAATCCTCCCCTCTTCTTTTCCAGATGATCTTACAGCAGCCAACAGTGTCCCTGAGCTTTAGCAATACTCAGCAGCTGGATCCACAACAGCTACAGCAGAGGTCAGGGGCCATTTCTCAGCAGCAGCTTGTCCCCAGTCCTCAACTTCAAGGGCAAATCTCATCTTCACAAACAACGAACCAGCAGTCACTGAGAGAAGCAAGTGTGATATCGAGCCAGGTAATTATTTCTTTGAATAGAAATAGAGAAGCATTTGGATGGAAAGGAAACACTGAGCTGTTATTAAGCAAGCAAGTAAAATCATGTCAGTCCTGTAACTGTGCCTTTGCCTTCTGTTTCTTATTTTTCTGTATAAGGGCAGCCTATAAGTGTTTCCCTACAGCATTTACCTTACCTTAAAGCCCTTCTTTAAGACCTCAGCCAGGAGGGTTACTTGAGCAGCTGTTTCATCTTGAAAGTGGAGCAGGGGGGGCATGCAAAGTGTGTAGGTGACTTACTGTTCTTCAGGTGGTCCTGAAAGAAACCTGACTGATCACACTGGAAACCTGAAATAGTGAGACCTCTCAGAATACTCTCAGAATGCTCCCTGAGTCGGACACCACCAATGAAACAAAGCCTGTCTGCTGTGGTGGCACACAGAATACATTGAGATTCATTTGAGACCCTCAGGCTGTGAGCATTAACAGGTTCCTGCACAGCAAAATAAAGTTTGGCCTGAGCAGTAGCTGAGATCTGTGAAAGCTATTAGGTTTGGCACTGTGTTTTTTGTTCATACTGCTGGTTTCTCAGCATTTCCAGTGTTTGCTCTTCTACCCACCTGTTGTACCTCCATTCACAGAAAACTGAGCTCTTGATTCTTCTTTCTTTTTTTTGCTTCTTGATTGTGTGGCAAGCATATTTACATGATTGTCTTCAGAGTCCCCCAGCTGTAGCTTTTCACTTCCTACACACCTGTGTTATAATGACTCTATTAAAATAGAAAGTGTATCTTTATAACAAATACAAGACGAGCAGCAGAAACTAATGCACAGGAAGTTCCACCAGAATACAAGGAAGAACTTGTCATTGTGCGAGTGACCATGCACTGGAACAGGTTGCCCCGAGAGGGTGTGGAGTCTTCCTCACTGGAGATTCTCAAGAACCGTCTGGGCACGATTCTGTGTGATGTGCGCTGGCATCACCCTGCTAGAGGAGGGAGGCTGGACAGGATGGTCCTTCCAACCTGGCCCGTTCTGCGATTCTGTGAAATGGGGAGGGGGACCAAAACACTTTTTTTGCTTTGATCTTTTCCTGTTAGGGGGCTTGGCGACAGCTCCCCACGCTTAACTCTGCTCCTGCCTGAAATGGGGGATCGTTTGGGCACTGCCGGGTTCGCTGGCCGGCAGGAGCGGGCCCGGGGCCGCCGCGGGCATGACAGTCGTATCACGTATGGTGACGGCAGCCGGTGGCGGCACCGCTAGGCACTGGTCCCGGATTCGGGCTCTCTCACCGCTCTCTCCTCTTCCCTTGCAGGGCCCGAAGGCGGCGCGGAGCTCGGAGCTGGCGCCGGGCGGTGGCCGC